CCCCATTTTTCTGCACTAGAACAGCACAAAATCCATTTTGCAATGGAAACACTTCATTGAATCATGTTGGCCAGTTCTTGTATGTGAAACTGTGCTGAAGTTGTGTTACCACTTTGAAGCTAGATTTTATCTGTACATATATAGGAAGTTGTGGATTGAATATGCAAAATGTTTTTTAATTACCCAAGAGCTCCAGAGCTGTGGTAAAATCACCAGTTTTCTGCATAATTTCTCTTTCGTGGATGATGCTTCCAATTTGCTCCCATTCAGCTACGACTTTCAGATGCACCGTGCGATTCCCCATGGAAGAGCAGTTACAGTAGACAAAGGGTTCCTTGGTAATCTGGTAAATTCTGTGTGAAACAGAAAAAGGTTTAGAATCCAAATTGCCTTTTACCAAGTGCTTGCAGGTTTCTGGTTTAAAATTGGACAAGCTCTAATATATTTTCTTTACAGACTGCAGTCACTGTGATTCTAATTCTACTTTATGTCCATATCAATGAGGATTTATGTCTATGGCATTACCTATAGTGCTACAATCAGTATAAGATCCGGAGTAAACTTGTGCATTTTTAATCAAAGAAACTAAAGATAATGCTAAAAGAATTCACAAAGCGAAATAGGAATAGTCAACAACCTTCATAGCAGGCAGACTATAAGTTAACTGAAACTAAGGTGGGGGGGAGAAAGAAAGAAACAAAATAGTATTCAGAGACTAAAGCTTACATCTCACATCCCTCTTTGCCCATATATGTATTCATCTTCAAATAAGATAAATAACTGAATGTTTTTTTCCTCCCTACTGCCAGGTGGCTTTACCCATAGTTTTATTTCTAATGGTTCTGAGTGCTGTTCTACCCCTGGTAAAGTGCACCTGCATATTATTTGAGACAATCTCCACTTTCAAAAGCTCCTCACCAAACTGTTGTGTATTTATGGATAGCTGGTCACAATAACAGCTCCTTGTTGCCCAACCACTGCTTCCATTCTCCTTAAGTGCACAAATTATTCACATACACGACAACCACCTGCTAATGGAGATCTGCAGGTACAATGATGTTTTAAAATAATTTACAATAAGCTGCTTATTCCATTTCACTCAGTTTGGCTCATCACACACACAGGGTAATACATGTAAGCATATATCTGAACAAGAAGTCTAGGTCTTTAAAACATCATCATCTTGTGAGCACACAGTGAATTTTGATTTTCAGAATTCACCAGGGTGACATGCCGAGGATGTACCAACTCACAAAGGCATGTGCTTTGTCTTGTGATTTAGCTATGATTTTTCTCTAGATGAGCATCTGAATCAGACCCATCTTGAATACTCCTTAAAGCCAACCAAGTAACCACACCTACCCGTCTCCAAAATCCCAGTTGTAGACAAATGATGCTGACTTGAAGTAATGACTTGGGTCATGAAGAGAGAAGGAAATCCGGGTCACTGCACCCATGGAGGAACTAGAACCCCGTGTGACAACTTCACTGTCTTCTATCTGGGCAATGGTGAGATTCCCTGTGATAAATTCTGCAGAATAATAAGGTAGGAAAAGAATGACAGCATATGTCACTTCCATAACGTGCTCTGTGTGTGCATAAAAACATTATTTCAGATGTACTGCTTAAATCTTTGTGTGTCCTACTCTAAGTGTTTAAGTGTATTTTATATCTATTATTCAGTGTTGTTACATATGTTAACGAGGCAGTGAAATTAAAATACTTATTTAGGGTTATACAGTGGGTCATGATAAAACTTCTAATAGAACTAAGAAATCTTGGACCTATTAAGGTCAGTATAAACTTTTACTCTTGATGTAAAAACAAGTGGGATTAACAACGAGTGTCTAGATTTAGAATCAAACCACTATACACACCCTTCATGTTTGGGGTGCTGGGGTTTATTTGTTTGTTTGGGGAGGTTTTCTATTTTGCTGGGGTTTTGTTTTTAGTTTTTAGCTATTTCTACATAAATTAAAATTTGACTACTATGAAGAACAGAGCACTATGTATTGTGAATACAGAAAGGATTAAGTTTTGATGTCTATGAGAGGTTTTATGTTGGAATTTGTTTACAAGGCTGATCTAAAAGAAACTCTCTAACCTGTGAATAAAGAGGTATTATGATGACACGGCGGAAAGCTGTCAGTTGATGATTTCATGTCAATCCCCTATATGAGAAATTGGGTTAACCATACCACCCCACTGGTTAATTTGTAAAAAAAAAAAAAAAACATATTTGTGGTTATGAATATTCCCAATAAGCTGAAATTGCACTTAGGAACATTTGAAAATGCAGCCATGATTTCATATCCGATTTCAGTACACTTATTTAGAGCTTTAAAAGAAAATGTAAAGGCTCTGTTGTGGTGATGGCCTAAGATCTGCTGTGTCATGCAACAGGGACAATCAGCAGTTTGTCACTGCTGCTGGTTATCCTAACTTTAAAAGTAGAAATGCTGGGAAGCATTGTTTTAGGAGTCTGGACATCTCTGAACAATGCTGATGTGTGAACTGCAGCTGCTGAAACATCTGGTTTCTAGTTCAGTTTCTCCAAGTGACAGAGGCAGGAAAACATGGGCAGGATCACACTTTATCCTGGATGGAGGTAGACTGCAGTGTGGCTCTAACGGTACTAATTGTACAATGCCACCTAAACCCACCTCCAGTCAAAGGGCTGCACAAATCAAACTGTGTTGTCAGGAGCCGTATTTACAACTGACTTTCATTTTCCTGGTGCTAACAAAGGCAGCCAGCACCCTGAATACTGAATTCCTGAAGGTGTAGAGGTTGTAAAGGCAAATCTTACCTGTGATCTGAAGCACAGTGACATTTCTAGCAACTGGCCGACACAGCCAACAGTTCCTGTGAGTCACCCAAACAGATACAGGAAAAGTCCCAGGAAATTCTCCGGTCACATTAACTACAGAGTTAAACCCCTGCTCAGATTTCTCTATCAAAATCAGAGGAGCATAAATCCAGTTAAAGTGATACAAGTCTGATGTGACATTTTCATTCTTCACACTTAGAGTGGCCTGAACAGTAGCTTGAGCTCCTGTTGTGATGGGACCATTGTTGGTTATTTCTAGACCATATGCCTCTGTGGAAATGAGAAGAAAAAAAGCAAAACAAATCTTGTTCTATTGCATTTTTAATGTTATTTATTTATTTACGCATTTTAACTAGTCAGTTGAACCACCTCTGCTGCTCTGAATGACTCACTTTTATCTCCTCTACTTATTTCAGCTCTTGCAACTACTGCAGTGGATGGCGTGTGAGTGAAATTGAGTTTTATGGAAAGGATAGATTCAATTTTTCCAAAAAATAGCAGTGCAGCAACATTAAAGGATCTGCATGTGTTAAAAATTAACAAAAAAACAAGCCTAAAACCTCAAAACAAAAGGAAAGGCAACAACCACCAATAGCAGGGCTGGGCAGAGCAGCAGGGCTGGGCAGAGCAGCAGAGCTGGGAGGTTCTCATGCTGGTGCCTTTCCTTCTCTCTTTCAGCAGCCACCAGATTGCTAACCAGGACAGGAACCTTTGAGCTTCAGAAGTTGCATTTCTCACTCATCTGTGACCTGTAATGTGGAGGGAGCACTGGGATCACCCAGCTCCTGTGCTGGCTTTTCTGCACCCATCAGCTTGGGATAGGGTGGAAAGAGATTCCAAAGCATCTACTTAGTGCCCATGTTTTATTTTACGCATCACAGGTGCTGAGCAATTCTGGAGGCAAAAGGACTGTGAGAAATGAACTGTAACATTACTGCCTGAGCAAGAACTCCACTGTTCACATTTCACAGCACAAGAAATGCCCTGAGTTCAGTTTTTTGAGTTAACAGAGAAATGCTTGTGATTTGATGAAATCTGGCACAGTGAGGTTTCATGTCTCTAGAATATTCAGGCTATGCTCCACTTCAGCAGAACTTAGGAAAAAAATAGCCAGTTACCTCATGCTTATCTAGCACTTCTCCTTGGAGGTTATCGTTGTGCTGCACAAACCAGGGCCATATCGGCCCAACAGCTGCAGCAGCTGGAGTTTCAGTGGCAAACCCAAGGTCACTCAGGGAGTGACCGGCACAGCAAGACGTTCCATCCAGTTCAGGGATTTCTTCTACCCTCCCGACCTCTGCAGAATGCAGCTCCGCGAGTCCCACAGGGAGGGACAGCGGCTGCTGAGGTGCCTTGTGACCCGCGGCGCGGGGTCAGCGGAGGGAGCAGAAGTGCAACTTTTAGGTCAGATGTGCAAAGCAGAACCCCGGCTGCTCGGGATGCCCCACCTCCACTGCAGGCTCCAAGGTCGCAGCGCCCGAGAATAAAGTCTGGGGTGGTGGAAAGGTGCCCGGCGCTGCCTCCATCCGCGGTCATAGCTATTAAGCTGGGGCAGCGAACCACCTCCCGCATCAGTAATGCAGCTCACGGCTAATGTGTGACCCCTCGCTCCCCGCAGCCCCTCGCCCGCTCCCCGGCGGCGATGCCAGCGCGGACCCGCGGCCCCTTACCTGCCGCCGAGGCGGCACCGAGGCCGAGCAGCAGCATCACGCAGGTCAGCCGCACCATGCTGGGGGCTGCGGGGGCCACGGGCCGGTTCCGGGACCGGGTCTGGTACGAGGTCTAGGGCCAGGTCTAGTACCGGCTCTGGCCGCGCTGGGGCCGGCGCTACCCCCGAGGCTCTGCGGCACCTCCGTCCGCGCCCCCGGGCCGCTCCCCCGCGGCAGCGCCCAGCCCGCCTCTCCCGGGGGCAGTTCCTGCGGGATCGTGTTGGCAGCGTGACGGGGCTGCGAAGCCGCCGGGGAGTTTAAACAAATAATCAATAAAACAGCGCACAAATGCCGCCCATCTGCGGAAAGCGCGGGGATAGCTCTTAGGGTTCGGACGGGGTTTGTGCTGTGCTTTGGGGATGACACGCACGGGTTCGGTGTTTCTGAGGCCCCGGTGGCGCGGGGACGGCTCGGCTGCGGTTACCGGCACCTGGGCTGCGGTTACCGGTCCCGCAGCGCTCCGGAGGGCCCGTGACGGGCGCGCTGCCGCAGGGAGCCAGAGCCAGAGCCCCGCAGTGGGCTGTGGGATTTTAAAATTAATTTATTTTATATTTTTTCTTTAAACTCCTCATTCGAAGCCCTTTGTCACTCCTGCTTGCGGTTTTGTTTCTCCTGGCGGATCAGCCCCCTCTGCTTGGATTCCAGCCCTGCCGCCGCTCTCCCGGGGCCCCTGCGGGCCGGATCGAGCCGTGCCGGCCGGAGGGACCGGCAGCGGCCCCGTCTGCCCCGGTAACTCTCGCCCGCTGTTACGGGGCCGAGGAGGCGGGCGGGGCTCGCCTCAGGCAGCGCCGGGCTGGGGCGGATCAAGGCAGGGGTGGCACCGGGGCCGGTGAAGGGACCGGGCGGCACCGCGGAGCTCCGCGCCGGCCTCCGCCCTGGCCTCCGCCCCGGGAGAGGCGCGGGAGGCGGCACCGGGAGGAGGCGGCCGGAACTGAGCGCGGGCGCTTCCGTCGCGCCCATGCGCTGCCGGCGGCCTCCGGCAGCAACAAAGGAGGGACCCGGGGCGCCGCGGCCGAGCCGGGCCCGGGAGCCGCGGGGTGAGGAGCGCGGGGGCAGCGCCCCGGAGGGGCCTGGGCCGGGGTGGAGCGCAGCGGTGTGGGGCGAGGCCGGCGCGGCGCTGCCGGCGGGGCGGGACCGGCGCGCCGCGGGCAGGAGGAAGCGGCCGGAGCGCCGCCGGCACCGCCGCCGGAGGCCTCGGGCCGAGCGCGGCACCGGCAGCGCTGAGGGGCGGGGAAGGCGCCGGCGCGGCCGCTCACGGGTGCCCCTGTTCGCAGGGCGGAGATGGGGCCGGCGTGATGGCGCCCTGGCCGCGGGGAGGAGCCGGTGCGAGCAGCGCTGCGGCGGGGAAGGTGAGGGGCGTCCGGGGGGGCGTTTGGGGGCACCCCGGCCATGGAGGCCGTGAGGAGCGCGGACAGAAACCGCCCAGGGCAGCGGGGAGGCCGCCGGTGTCTCAAGATGAATGTGGTTTTAGGTTTCTTCACAAGCGAGAAAGGCAGCTCGTGGACAACTTCGGGTACCGCTGGGAGTGAGTCCCGCCGGGGTGTGTCCGAGGGGAGCTGTTAAATTTGGGATCCTGGGTGACAGGATAACAGGTGTGCGGTGTTGGGAGCATTCCCGAACATGGAGCCTGCTGCTGGGAGAGATGGAACCAAGCAAAACGCGTGGATGTTTGGGCTGAGGTGGGAAGAGCCCAATAACCACTTGTATCTGTTAGTGCATTCCTGTTGCAGTGAGTGCTGTACATGCTTGGCATTGTATTTGTAAGCTTAAGTAAACGTGACAGCTGTGGTTTATGGAAAAGGTGGTCCCCCTCAATAGGTCAGAAAAATGGATGTAGTGATCTGATAGCGGCTGTTAACCAACCATATGTACTAACAAATACTTCTTTATTCTTTTGTAGGTGTGTTGATCTTGATTTTAGGTACTGAAAGCTGACCTTTCCTCCTCGAAGATGGCATTTGTTTCAGCACAAGGGCCTACGGTGGTGGACCAAACCACTTTGATGAAAAAATACCTTCAGTTTGTGGCTGCTCTTACAGATGTCAATACACGTAAGAGAGTTTTTTCTTATCGAAAATTACAGTTCTTCAGTAGTTTGTTTCACAAATGTTGCAGTACTGTTCAGGCAGTAGATCAATGTCAAATTCACTTTGAATTTTGTTTGAGTTTTGATTTTTGAAGAAGCAAAGTGATGAGCAATACTTGCATGAGCCAAAGTGAGTGAGTGGAGTGCGTGTGTGGTTGTGTGGTGGTTGAGAGAATGGTGTGCTTTATAATTGGGCGATGATAGCTAAACTGATAAGATCTGATTGCTTCTTTGATCAATGAGCCTGGTATTTTCCTTCATGATCTAGTTTTACATTTACATTTCTTTGCTTCGATTTCCATTTTCAGCCGATGAAACCAAACTGAAAATGATGCAAGAAGTCAGTGAGAATTTTGAGGTAAATAAAAAGAAAAAAGCCCGAACAACAAAACCCCAACAAAAAATCCCCAGCCTTCTGCAGTGGCAGCCTTTCATGTGCTTAGTGTATGTTGACTTGATTTCTGATTTTATGTGGTTAAAAGATTAATGTTAGTGTCTTGTGACTTATAATTTAAACAGTTACAGGTCATTGATTTTAGGTTTGTATTTAGGAATTGGGCAGGTTGTTGAAGGAATTACGTCTGAACTTAGAGAGCTTTCATTCTCTAATGTTTATTCAGGAAGCATTTAAATAAAAGCGAAGTAAGAGATTTTTCTTCCATTTTTTGAATGTAAATCTCTGTATTTAATGCTTTCCTTTGTTTGGTTCAAATGTGTATTGTGCCCTTGTGAAAAAGAGGCCCTTCTGATTCCTCTGAGTAGTTCCATAGTATAGAAGTGAGAGAGGAGTTCTCAGATGCAGACTCCAACATAGGGAGTGGAGGTGTCTCCAGTGACGTCTTTTGCGTAGTGATGGACCATCATTTTCCATGAGCAGCAGAGAAAGTGTGGGACACAAGTTAACCTTGTGTTAGCAGAAATTATACTCTAGGTGAATACTTAGTTATTATGTGGCTGTTCTGAAATTCATGTTCAAATTCTGTCGGCTGCATTATTGATTTGGGTGTAGAACTGAACATGGAGTGATGATTCTGGGGGACTTCCTGAGGTGAGGTTTAAAACTGAGGTGCTTCCCCACAGTATTACCTGCGTGGCAGTGCCAGTTGGGCTGGCTGTTGGAATGTTGTTCTGGGCTAGCAGAGCATATGGCTCTTCTAAACCAATTTCTGGATGGAAACGTTTGATAGATTTGATTCTTGTTTCTTAAAAATTTTTTGTTTGAGCGTGAATTTTTTCCTTCTCCGCTTCTTCATAGAGATTAAAGGAATTAATTTGTATTCCCCTTTGCTTGCTTCACTGGCAGTGCTCTGTAGTGTGTCAGCAGAATGTAACTAAATCTAATCTGTGTAATGTCTATTATATACATCCCCATTTTTTGTTCTTAATTAGAATGTGACATCATCCCCTCAATATTCTACGTTCCTGGAACACATCATCCCTCGGTTTCTCACCTTTCTGCAGGATGGAGAAGTTCAGTTTCTGCAGGAGAAGCCAGCACAGGTAAACTGTTTGGAGCATCTCTTGTCTTTTTGTAATGAAGTCCTTGATTAACCTAATGAACTGATTTATGTATAGGCTTGTTAAAAATAGATCTGTCATTTGGAGTGAAATTGAAAAAGTCCAGTTTCTAAGTAAGTTACAGATAAACTTTGCAAATCTGGGCTTCTATGCAAAATGAGGAAAAACTGGGTGTGACAGGATTTCTTGCAGAAATACTCTACATTGTTATATTACAAATTACTGACTTTACTGAGGGTTAGGAATGAAAGGCAAAAGTTGAATCTTTGTCATTAAGTGCTTTAAATCGCATTCCTTAAAAAATGTTTGAAAACTTTAGTTTTTCAACTGTAAATTTGTTAGAATTCCCTTAATTCACATATGTGTAGGAAGCATTATGTGTTTGTATATAAGCCTATATCTACATGAAATAAAATGGCTTTTGTTTTTCTGTTTAAGCATGCAGAAGTCTTAAGCTGAAAAAGATGTTGCAACCCCTTGCTGGGTTTTGAGGGCTTTTAAAAAAGTTCTGTCATATCTTTGGCTTTTTTTTTTACAGCAACTCCGAAAGCTTGTGCTTGAAATAATTCACAGAATACCAACAAATGAACATCTTCGTCTTCATACAAAAAATATCCTATCTGTGATGTTTAGATTTCTAGAGGTACTTTTTTTCCTTTTAAAACTGTTTCTAATTTTCAGAAGTATTTTCCTCTACTTTCTTCATCTCCAAAATTTGCTGGGAGTAGGATTTTCAATAGCTGTGCTGCTGGATCAAGAGTGGAAGGGCATTCTCTTTAGGCTTCACCCATGTCATCTTTTAGCACAAACAGCTTTTCTACATGTTCTGTTCTGCCCTTTGAAAATTTGGATTTTACAAATGCAGGGAACTGTTCTCATGCTGGACAAGATTTCTTGGCAGAGAGCTTATTCTAGAGAGTTTGTTTTCTTTCTTGGAATTGAAAACACTGTCATTTGAAGCTCCTAGAAAAGAGCCTACTCTAGGCAGAGGTGTTTAAATAGCCCCACATGGGTCTCTCTGTCTGAGAGGCACTAGGAACAGGTCTGATGGTACAGAGTGATTGAAACTTCTGGGTTTTGTTCCCATAGGGTTGGATTTAATTTTAGCCACTCTAGGACTACAAGATATCAAAGGAAAGGCATGTTGCTCATGCAAATCCATATTAATTGGGCACTTTAGATTGTTGAGAAGAATATAATTTATAGGGTTTTGAAGTACTTACAGAGTAGTTGAAGAATTAAGCAGTGGACTCACTAAAGATTCTTTTTTTCAGACGGAGAATGAAGAAAATGTACTGATTTGCTTAAGAATAATTATTGAATTGCACAAACAGTTCCGACCAGCAATCACTCAAGAAGTAGGTCATAAATCTTTTTATATTCTATAGAACTTACTGCCATGCTCTTCAGAATTGCTGTTTTGTTCTAGTGGGTTGGTTGGTTTGTTTTCCTGCTGTCCTTTTATGTTGCCTGACCTGTAAGGGGCCATATATTTAATTTTTTTTTTAACCATTAAGTAATTTTTAAAAGGATTGCGTAGTGCTACCAACCCTGGTTAAAAATCAAACTCTTAAGGTCTAGTTGTCCTTGCTTCAAGTGCTTATGGACAATATGATCAGACTAAGGAATAGAATTCCCATACAAAGGATGAAAATTGATGCCTTTTTGGTTTGTGACGGGAAAATCCTGGAACAGGACTGTTATCATTATCTTCCCCCTATCCCCCCTCCTCTCTCCTGTGACTCGTCAAGAAGTATTTAAAAGTTGCCTTTTTTCCGTGGGCTTTTCCTGGGAAGACTTATTTGGTTCATAGTAATTATTTCTAATAACACTGTGTTTGGAACTATGTTGAGATGGAGGTGGATCGGATTCTTTCCAAGTGAAATTCGAATTAATATTGACATAACAGAAGGAAATAGAAGGACACTTTCAGATTAATTTCAATTATCATGAAAAATATGCTGTACTGTTGAGTAGAGGTTTTATGTAAATGTACTGTAAATACAGAGGTTCTAATATGGTGGTTTTTTTTTTAAATTTATTTATGGTAAACTGACTTCTTCCTTCCTAGATCCATCATTTCTTGGACTTTGTGAAACAGATTTACAAGGAACTTCCAAAAGTAGTGGTAAGCTTTTTATTTCTTAAATTACCCTTGCTACAGTCAGAAAACTAGTTTTTATTTCTTTATTTTCTCTCTTAAAGGTGTTGACATAATTATTTTTGTATCTAGTGATCCATATTAAACACAGTTTTAGTGACTATATTTATCAAAAATATGTCTAAAAATGGAGACATTTGATTTTGATTTGGAAAACCTTCTGTTTCTAGCACATGATTACCAGCAGGAGAAAATTGAGGCGAACTTTAGTAAAGACACTAAAGCACCAGTGCTTTGGCTACAGTTGTTTCCATGTAGCCAAATGTGTCTTTTTCTGGGCGAAGGGAGGGAGGTCCATGTCTGAGCTTCCTCCCTGATACAGAGTAACTGTTTGGGTGTTTGTGTGTAGCAAAAGAACCCCGTGGGTGGGGGTGCTTTTCTGCTGCTCTCTGTAATGGGGGAGGTCACAGGTTGTGTGTCCGGCCCTGGCAGACCCTGCGGAGAGGAAAAAAACTACTCTGGTGAAAAATTCTATGGAGCGGTTCTAAGAAGATAAAAGGCCTTTTGACTATTAGTAGCATTATTATGTTTTTCTTCTGCTCTTTGCTTGTAGAATCGGTATTTTGAGAATCCTCAGGTGATTCCAGAGAACACTGTTCCCACCCCTGAGATGGTTGGCATGATCACAACCATCGTGGTGAAAGTAAACCCTGAGCGAGAGGACAGCGAGACCAGAACAGTGAGTATTCTAACTGCTCCTTACCTGTGACACTGTCTGTATCACAATACCACAAATCAGAAGGCCAGGTAAACGTAATAGACTCTTCTTGCTTGTTTTTCTTATCAAAATTTATCTTTAGAAGCTGATTGAAACTTTTCAGGTATTTTCTATGCAGCTGTAATTACGGGATTTTTATTTAATATAATGCCAAATGATTTTGTGCTTTTTAAATGTTAGTATTGCCAAGTATAGTGCTATTAAAATGAGCAGTTTTTGTAAAAGTGTATTTTAAATACTTTTTTGAATTAATAGTTAAGCTGTTTATAAAGCAACTATTCTTTCTTTCAGCATTCAATAATTCCCAGAGGATCTTTATCGCTGAAGGTCTTGGCTGAGCTACCTATTATTGTTGTTCTCATGTATCAGGTTAGTATACTGCAGTATATTTTGCATGTAAGTACTTCCTATTTCTGAATGGCTTGTCTAACTTCTGTTGGCTCACATATTAGTAAAAATGAATGTAATGTATTTTTGAGATTAAAATATCATCTAAAAATAAGCTGCTGAGATATCTCAATTTTTTCTGATTAGTTCTCAAATAAATTGACTGCAAGTGTGACTTGTAAATTTCTCTAATAATATTTTATTTTTTTTTAAGCTCTACAAGCTGAACATTCATAATGTAGTAGCTGAATTTGTGCCCTTGATTATGAACACTATTATAATACAAGTTTCTGCTCAAGCAAGGTAAGAGCATTTCTAAAGTATTTTGATGATATTTAGGATAAACTACTAAAACCTGCCATTCAGTAGGGCCTGAAATATTGTTGTTTTATATTTTGTGATTTTTGCTTATAGTCTTACTGCTTTTAATCTCAAAAGTAGCAACAGTTATCTGACTAAAAATAGTCAAAGTCCTTTAGATGAAGTAATTAGCAAATCTGAATATTGGCCTTATATACCTCTGATAAAATCCATGGTGAATAAGTTGTTGAAGCTTGAGAGAGACAGACAAGTCTGTGGGAGGGAGTATTGCTTGGAGAAAAAAAATTGCCCCAGTTAGGGGAAAGGAGCCAAATATTTGATGCTTTGTATTGGCTTGGCTTTCTGTAGGAAGTTGAAAATTGTGTGGCTACCTCAGGGCTGTGCATTTCTGCTTGGGGCACAAGGTGCTGCTGGGAATGTGAATGGCAGAGGGCTTGTTGAAAATGGGCTCTCCTATGGTGATTTTATTCCCTTATGAAGCAAGAGCCTCACCAGAAGATGATGTAATTTGAAACTTTGGGGAATTTGTTGAGCGAAGGTATTAAAGAGAAGGAACAAAATCGTAACCACTGTTCAATTTACTTTCAGACAACATAAACTTTACAACAAGGAATTGTATGCTGATTTCATTGCTGCTCAGATTAAAACATTGTCTTTTCTGGCTTATATCATCAGAATTTACCAGGTAGGATGCATTTTTATCACTTTGTTACTTAATGCAACAGATTTCTAGTTGCTTTATGGCAGGCAAGTGACCAGCATGACTGCAGTGCATCAGGGACTGGAGAGAGGAGCATTTGTGTAACAAATTTGAAGGTAGGGCTGTACTTGGTTATCCTTTCAGAAGCATCCTCATGTGAATGCGAAGTAAAAATGTTCCATTCCCCCTCCCTGGGCATTTAGGGAATGACTATTGTATTTTAGTTTTAGAAGTAGACTTTTTAAAGAGCAACAAATGAATTTAAACTGAACGTTATTTTGCAAATATAAAGCAAGAACAGAACATCATAATAGTTGTACTCATTTTTTTGTTGTAGGAATTAGTGGCTAAATATTCTCAGCAAATGGTCAAAGGAATGTTGCAGTTGCTCTCCAACTGTCCAGCTGAAACAGCACATCTCCGGAAGGAGCTTCTGATTGCTGCTAAACACATCCTGACAACAGACCTGAGGAGCCGTATGTACAACTTCTTATAAATGTACCTATAAACTGGAAAGATCTCAGCTATTTCTGTGTATTTCAGAGGCATATTGCTTATTTGTTTTGGGCTGTGACACACTTCTGATTATTTTGGGTGTAGGTGGGATTTTTGTTCTGTGTTTTTTTCTTTTTCCTTAAAAAATAAAGTCATCTGAATAGGGTGGCAGACTGACCAACTGACTTCTCTAGCTTTCCATGTAATTACCGTGTGATGATACAAATTTGTGGTGGTTTGTAGTTGTGCCTATAATTGAATAGGTATTTTATAGTACTAATTTGTTAACCTGAATGGAAGTAGTTCTGTCAAAAGTTCATACCATCTGTTTGCTCATAGTATTTGTCTCTAGCATTTTTGGTCTGCCTGAAGTAACTAGGTTTGGTGGATATGTCCTGTTCTGGCAGAGTTGCACAATTGGAGATCAGTGTACTTACTTGAGTGTGTGGTCCCTTTCCTTTTCCCTCTGCTAACAGCAGTTCTGGGGTAGTGCAATGTCTCAAATCTTCTTAGATTGCCAAAAGAAAAAGCTAAGCTTGTTTCCTAGTTCTGGAATTTACTATTGTGGTCACATGGAAAGCTGTTCCTTTGCTATTTTTCTAAAGAAATTAGCTTATTTGTTCTACATTTTTCAGCCTCTCCTTAATAACGTAGCCTTTTATAAGCTTCAGGAATTAATTTTATAATAAGACCACTTTCTGACTTAGGTTTGAATACCTAAGTTGAGTGGTTTAATGCTTAACTATCTTATTTTGATTATTTTCTTTGCCAATCATTACGTATAGCATTTTCATTTTTCTCTCTGTTTTTTAAATTATAGAATTTATTCCATGTATGGATAAGCTGTTTGATGAATCTATACTTATTGGCTCTGGATACACTGCCCGAGAGACACTAAGGTAGGACAGAATTTAAAAAAGCTATTTAAGTGCCTGGCAGGGGTGGTTACTTTTGAAGTTATTAATATCTACAGGAATGTCTGTATAGGGTCCTAAATCTTTGCTTCAAAGAACTAATTTTATTAGATTGTTTTATTGGCAGGGCTTGTGCTGCTATAAAGAGAGGCTGTTGTTTAATACTTTAGCGTGGTAGGGTGAGTGTAGGGCAAAATGAGATAAATGGGTGAATGAAAATGATTTCATTTTTTTAAGTGGCAGAGCAGAACCAAAACAGTGGTCACAGTGAAATCAACTCAATATCTGCCAATATTTCATGAATCACCCTAAATCTTATGTCCAATGTGAAATCTGAATGAGATTTAAACTGTTTTATCAATGAGTACCTTAAAACTTACTCATTTGCAATTGAAAAAGTACATGGGGACAATACTTACTTTCTGTGTCTTCAACAGTCTAGATTTTAGGTGAGCTTGCTGACCATAATAAAGTACATGAACTAGGAGAATTATTTCCTCTTGCTGAAGTATCAAGTTTACCTTATTGACAACATGTATTAGATTTTGAAGTATTTGCTGTACTAGATGCTTAACCTAGTAGTTAAAAACAAATGATTTTTAAAATGTAGCAGTTTTCATAACTGCTTTGGGAATAATGAATCAGCAATGATTAATTGTGAAACAACTCACCAACACTGCTCAGAACGTGGCTTAAAATGTGCTAATTTGCTGTGAGCTGTATGTACATGAAAATATGTGCTGGGATGTTCTGCAGGGGGGCAGAGAAAGATCAGAGAGGTTACACCAGTGTTGTGGGACAGATTGCTGCATCTTTGGGTAGATTGTACAGGCTGTAATTCTCTTGTGTAACTGAAAAAGCCTTGTGAACTCTGAGTTTGCATGTGAAAATAGAAAATTTACATTTAGAAATTTGGAAATAGCTCCAGGCAGGAACTATTTGTTAAGTCCAATTAACAACAGTTTTAGCTGTACTCAACGTGTGTTCTTCCTTTCCTGTTTTTACTGACAGACCCCTGGCTTACAGCACTCTGGCAGACCTGGTTCATCATGTCCGGCAGCATTTGCCACTCAATGACCTCTCTCTTGCTGTCCAGTTGTTTGCCAAGAACATTGATGATGAGTCCTTGCCCAGCAGTATCCAGACCATGTCTTGCAAGCTTCTGCTAAATTTGGTAGACTGCATCAGGTCTAAAAGTGAACAGGAAAATGGAAATGGTAGAGATATTCTTATGAGAATGCTGGAGGTATTGATTTGTTTAAAGCTTTTCATAATAAGTTGGATATCCTATTTTATAGGATGTTGTCAATCACATTTTAATTTCTCCTTTCTTCAGAAATGAGAATGTGTAGAAACAGCCTGTGGACTGTATTTCACTTTAGTGCTTCAGAGAAGGGTTTTTTAGAATGCTGTGCAGCTCAATAATATCTCAAGTGTAGTGGAGATGCTTTGTGAAATCAGCTTCGTCCAGTGACTTGTTTCAAAGCAGGAAACTGAATATCTGAATGTCTGTTTTATGGTAGCTTAACTGCTGGTGGTTTCTTTTTTTTTATTGTTTTATTTTAAATTATATTTGTTACCTTTTTTCCCCTGCTTAATAGCATATAAGACTGGTATTTTTTAATACCTTCTGGTTATGCATGTGTTCTTTTTGGTGTGTTTTTTTTTTAAACCCGAAAGAGGATTTTCTCACAGGTCTTTGGTATAGCACAACACAATCTGTAAAATTTGAGATATCTTCACTTTGAAGACCTACTGATCCTTTTTAAGGATCTTTAGGTGGAGGATCCTGGGGGCCTTTTTGGTTTTTTTTTTTGGGTTTTTTTTTTTTTTCAATGGGGAATGCACCAATTGTTTAAACTAAGCAAACTACTTTGATAGGCTTAAAAATGTTTGCTTCATTTGAATGCCTTCAGAAACAGTTGTTTTATTGATCTCGGTATGCTGACTTGCAGTATTAGTATTTTTAAATTTAGATTGATTTTTGAGGAATAAACATTTTCTTTTTCCTTCCCCCTCCCTTACTCTTTCATTTGCTTTTCCCCTTTGTGCCTTAGGTCTTTGTTCTGAAATTCCACACCATAGCCCGGTACCAGCTGTCTGTGATTTTTAAGAAATGCAAGCCCCAGTCTGAGCTCGGGGCTGCCGAAGCCGCGTTACCCGGGGTTCCAACAGCAGCAAATGCAGCCCCTGTTCCTGTTCCATCTCCTGCCCCAGCCACTCCAGTGGCCCCTGCACCAGTACCTGTATTTGAAAAACAAGGGGAGAAGGAAAAAGAAGATAAACAGACATTCCAGGTCACAGATTGCCGGAGCCTGGTGAAAACTTTGGTCTGTGGTGTCAAGACGATCACGTGGGGCATCACGTCATGCAAAGCTCCTGGGGGTAAAGCTGCCTAATATTTAATTACATTCATCTTTCATTATTCTACAGTTAAAACTCTCTAGCATGAAAACAAATAGTATTTTTAATGGCTAACTACTATCTTATTCTTCTTTCAGAAGCACAATTCATTCCCAATAAACAGTTGCAACCTAAGGAGACACAAATCTATATAAAACTGGTAAAATATGCAATGCAAGCTTTGGATATTTATCAGGTATGTAACCTGCCCACATCACACTTTGATTTATACAGTTGGTTTTGTATTAGATTTTTTTAATAAGGATTTACTTGTCAGCTGAAAGACAAATTTCACATGTAGTATATTTTCAGTAAGTCTTTACTTAGGACCGGGGCTATTGAGAAATTCTCCAAATTTCAAAGTACCACTTGCAAGGACTGTATTGTTTTCTTAACAGTCATTTTTGTCTGTGTTTATGCAGGCATGTCAGACTAAAAATAATTCTTTCATGTAGTGGATTAAATCTTTTCTTGAAAGAGATAGTTTAGCTGTCAGTCCAAGCATTCACATGTCTGTGTTAATCTTCTATGGTTACACACAGTACTGATGAAATGTAAATGTGTGTGATTGGGTATAATGTAGCTTTACAAATGCACTGATATCTCCTGCTATCATCTTTTTCCACTCCTAACATCATAGTTTTAAAATCTGTGCTGAAAAAGCTCTTTTTTAATATTTTTGTCATGATTGGCTCTTGTGCCCAGCTTCTAATCATATGGGGCTTGCATGTGAAACCTATTAAATCTAAGATTTTTTACCAAAGGACTTTAAGAATAATGGGGGGGGAAAGTTACTCAAATTCTGTAACTAGTATATGTGTTTTCTCAATTGCTGTATTTAGGTTCAAATAGCAGGAAATGGACAGACATATGTTCGAGTAGCAAACTGTCAGACAGTCAGGATGAAAGAGGAAAAGGAAGTTCTGGAGCATTTTGCTGGTGTGTTTACAATGATGAACCCTTTAACTTTTAAAGAAATCTTTCAAACTACTGTTCCTTACATGGTGGAGAGAATCTCAAAAAACTATGCTCTTCAGGTATGTTTTTGTTTACTTTTTTAAATTGATAATAAAAAGCATGTAGGAAATAGCTTATGCCTTGAGGGACATATGGCTGAAGTGGAATTATAACTAATAACGTTGAAATTAGCATGTGAGACTGGAATCAGTCTATAGAAAAAGTAGTCTATGAAAATAGTGTGAAGGTGGATTTTCAAAAACCTTTCCAGACAAAGTGATGCAGTACAAACATGAGCACTTCTAGAAGATATGAATGGAATTTATTCTTGAACAGTATTGAACACTGTGGAGTTGTTGTTTTGTTCAGGTTGTTGTGTTAATGTTCTACTGTTTTACAGAATGCAAATCCTATAATATCCATTTAAAATTAAACTTTAAACTTGAACATTAAGTTACATATATGATTGTTTTCCACTGAGGACAACCTGAATCACTTGGGTAGCAGTGGAGATGGGAAAGGAAATCAGTCTTAGGGTTTGTTTTTTTTTTTAATGGATGGTGCTTTTATCCTTTTGTTCTTTTTATTACAGCAGTATTAAATTCTTTCTGGTTTCCTTTTATAGATTGTTGCCAATTCCTTCTTGGCAAACCCTACTACCTCTGCCCTCTTTGCAACAATTTTGGTGGAGTATCTCCTGGATCGACTGCCAGAAATGGGCTCTAATGTGGAACTCTCCAATCTGTATCTCAAGCTGTTCAAGTTAGTCTTTGGCTCTGTTTCACTGTTTGCAGCTGAAAATGAACAAATGCTGAAGGTAAAGATCATTTGTGTTAAAAACAAGTCTGTTTTAAAAACAAGGCTCTTAAGAGTTTTACGCTGTTTAGCATTTGAGAGTCTTTTAATGTTTGAAGCACTCCTTATGATATATCTCCATTTTTTCCAAATGCCAAGTAGGTTGTCTTATATTTATAAGAGATGATTTCTGTGAATGTTTGCTTCATATTTGAAACTGTGAAGTGGTGTGCTAATTCCGAGTATAAATGGCCGATCCATGATTGTGTTCTGTGATTGCCATAAACCCATGTAAAACTTCATGGTCAGAAGATGCACATCACACATATTTTTTCACCTTTGTTTCCATGTTAATGTAAAAGTTTTGCTTGGACTGAGATCACTTTTTTGTGTGTTGGTGAATGTTGTTTGCTCCTGTCATATTCAATGACATGTACCTCTTGAGTTAGATATTTATATGCTCTTGAAAAGTCTGGGTTTAAGGAATGCTGCTTTTTTCCATTTACAGCATATTGCCTGTGTATTCCAGGGATCTATTTATGTTGATGAGATCATCTCATTATTCAGTGAATTTAGAAATGCTGAGCTTGAAGCAAGACCGTGCACTTCTCATAAAAGCAACAGCTGCCTATACTTAGAAAAGATATTTAAGATTTTAATGGAACACTGATTGTTCTCTCATCATTCATTTCTCTTCCTTTTACCTTGTGACAAACAAAATTTCTGATACAGGCAACTGTGTAGAACAGAGTGGGGCCTCCCAATTTTCCAGGTTCTTTGAAAGATAACAATAATATGAAGCAATATTCATTAGTAATATGAAGCAGTATTTATGTAATCTTGCTTAAGTTCTTGTAGTTTGTCATCAGAATCAAGGTCATTTGGATTTTATAAGCTGGAGATGAAATTTAAAGAGTGTAATTTACTACCTTCACAGTTTCATGCTTCTGTTCCTTTTTTTGTTTCTCCAGGATTGATGATAGGGGCCTTGGGTAGACAATTTAATTGAATGATGGAGGCCATTTGCAACATTTGCATAGCAATGTGGAGAGCTTTTTAGATGTTAATAAAATCCAGAATTGTGTTACTGTTTGTCCCTGATCTGTGAGAATACTTGTATTTGTCAACTCTCTTTAATGATTCCTTCAAACTGTTATTGTCCTCTGCTCTAGAAAGGCTGAAGAATTTGCTTTCAAAATGAAATTAAGAACTAGTGATGAAGTTAAATCAGGAGTAAATTAATATTGTCAAGTGTCTTCTCTTGTCATTCTGACACCTGATTTCGGCTCCACATCCCCAGGTTCTGTAGAGCAAAGATTTTTCATTGTGTCGAATTCACAGGATCTCATGCTGAACTCTTGTACAGTACGATGATGATAAAATGGGTGTTTTATTAATCTTCAAGCTTTATTTTCTTTATAGCCACATTTGCACAAGATTGTGAACAGCTCTATGGAACTTGCACAGACTGCCAAAGAGCCCTATAACTATTTCCTGCTGCTCAGAGCACTGTTCAGATCTATTGGAGGAGGCAGTCACGATCTGTTATACCAAGAATTCTTGCCGCTGTTACCAAACTTACTGCAAGGTAGAACAATACCTTCTTTCCCCACCCCACTTTCTGATTTTTTTTATGTAAATAGTAGTAATAAAGTTATGTTCTGTAATTAAACCCCCCCAAAATTAAAACCCTAACCCTGATAAGTAGCTTCTGATTTTTAGCTTAGCAGTTGATTAAATATCTTGAATGTGGCTTATTTTCATTTTCTATCAGCTGCTTCAGGCTCCATAGTTTTGGCTGCTTCACAATTTCTGCTGCTTGTTTTTCTCCTTTTCATTGTGCGGCTTGTGGGGTTTTCTTGTTTGTTTCTTTTGTTTTTTTGGCTGTGGGTAACTTTGTTGGCATAAAGCATTGAGGGAGAAGTGAGTAGGAGAAGCAAGGTTGCCAGGCCATCACTGGTTTTATGGGAACAGTATTGCAGCAAAGCTCTGGTGGTTCTGCAGTCGAGGGCATGTGTGTGCACCTGCAAGGGCATTATAAATAGAAATGCAAGTAGTGCCAGTCTGCAGAAAGAAGTGGAAATAAGAATCAGTTTGATTAATTGAGCATTTGTGCTTGCAAGGACTGTGTTCCAGAGATATTGAGGGTGAACAAGGAAATGTGGAGAACTACTTAAACCTAAGGACAAGCTATTGGAACTATTCCAGGACTGTAACTGGTTCTCATCTACAGCTGTAGGGACAGTTTTTATTCTGGTTAGGAAGTATCTCTGTTAACAATAAATCATTATGTAGAACGTGTCAGTGTAGAAGAGGTTGCTTGGTTTATGGAGTATGTGGAATCTTCATGGGGAGAAAAATAACTTGGGGAATACGCTTAGTCTGTATGGGACAGTGAATGTAATTGAACTCATTAAATGTTTCTTTTCAGGACTCCCAATATTTTAAAAACAATTTGTTCTGTGTGGGATTTTTTTTATTGTTACAAGGCTGAGGTTTGAGTCCAATTATCTTTTTCTTTTTTTCATCTGCTATATTCAAATACTGCTTTATTGAATCCAGTATCTAACTTTGCAATATGCATAGATACTCCTTCCTTCTGTATGCATGTACCTAAAAAAGCATTCTCTGCATGAAATCCTTAGATGTAAGTTAGAAATATGGATGATATAATATTTTGTAAATCCATTATTTACAGACCTATAAACTCTGCTGAATTTAAAAACGTCAGGTTGTTCGGAATTTAGAAAGTAGCAATTTGTAGCAATAAGCTGGGTACTGTCTTTTTCCTTTGACTGTGTAACTTATCCATGATTTTCAGGACTCAATATGTTACAAAGTGGGCTTCATAAACAACACATGAAGGACTTGTTTGTAGAGCTCTGCCTCACTGTGCCTGTTCGTTTGAGCTCGTTGCTGCCCTATCTGCCAATGCTGATGGACCCCCTGGTGTCAGCTCTCAATGGATCCCAGACCCTGGTTAGCCAAGGCTTGAGAACCTTGGAATTGTGTGTGGATAACTTGCAGCCAGACTTTCTGTATGATCATATTCAGCCAGTTCGAGCTGAGCTAATGCAGGTAAATGTGTTGTTTCCTGTTAGACCACAAGAGGTCATTGATTTGCTAAGTATTGTTAGAAATTTGTATGAAGCTTTGGTTATAAAAACTTGAAAAATCTGTCATGAGAACCGTACCAGCCAGATGTGTGTGCAAAAGGACAGTTGTTGTTGTGCTGTGAAGCTGAAAACTCTGAAAATTAGAAGTGAATGAATTGTTCCTTCTATATACTTTGTTAAAGGGTTAAAGTTAAGATGTGGGACTCAGTAGCAATAATTTAATGAGCAGTGATTAGTGAGAGAATAATTAGAATTAGATCGTTAAAAAACAAAACAAAAACCAAGGAAAGCCAATTACCTTCAACATGTCATTAAGTCTTATATATGCAATGAAGATGATGTGGCTAAAATTCAGAACAATGTTTTAAATGTGGCTATTTCCCCTAATACAGTGCTTGCACATACTTTGCATATACTTTTGAAATATTGTATTTACTTTATTTGCTTTTTATATTTCAAAACTAGTTCTGTGATTAATTCAGTTCAACCTTTACTGGCCTGTGTTTTTAATTAATAATGTTGTTTATGTAAGATTTATCATAAACATGAATTACATTCCAGTTGTAGCTGATCACAGTAATCTAAAACTGCATTTAGGACAACCTTGTTATAAAGCAACTGTTGTGAGCTGAGACTGCTTATATTCAACCTTGATAAGTATGTTCTGGAATTTAGGCAGAATCAGCTACCCAGATACAAGAATAAGTGTTTTCCTTGACTTTTTTTAAACATTATAACTTGGAAAATGTTGAGATAAGACAGCTCAGCCCATGTCCCATTTGCAATGCAGGCTCTGTGGCGCACTCTGCGCAACCCCGCAGACAGCATTTCTCACGTGGCTTATCGTGTGCTGGGCAAGTTTGGTGGAAGTAACAGGAAGATGTTAAAGGAATCACAGAAACTGCAATATGTAGTCACAGAAATCCAAGGACCCAGTATTACAATTGAATTTTCAGACTGCAAAGCATCCATTCAGCTCCCAATGGAAAAGGTAAGGGCTTCAGTTACTTTCGGTGCTGAGAAACCAACTTGAAAAGTATCTGTAATAAAGGAAAATTTACTAAGTTTGTTTGCTTGTAAAACCTCCATAAAATATGTGGTATGTCTGCCAGTTCTTTCTTTATTTCCCATATAAACTGTGTCATATGTCACCCCCAAAGTAATGGATTTAGACATGCTGTTCTGCTCTTACAAAGTGATAGAATAGAGAGCTAAAGTGGCACAAGTAAATGGTTTCACACAATCACAGACTGGGTAAGGTTGGAACTTTCAGTGTGTTGCTTAGATGAGGGGCAGGAATATATATATATATAAAGCATAGACATTTCCTAAAGAGATGTACCCCCCCCTTTTTAGTCATCTTCATATCTTAAGTAATTTATTTGAATTATTCTCAAATGTATTAAATCTTCTTGCAAAAGAAGACTGTTATTTCCATTAAGTAAGCCGTGTTTAGAAGTTGCTTACAGGGACATTTCATCATGCATGGAAAATACAAATTACTCTGTCGTAAGACAGAGTATTTTTGGTACATTTACATGTGGATATAAATGCATCGTATACATATAGTATGTAGGGATTAGGAACAGCAATTACTGCTGGAGGGAAGGTGAAGAAAATGTCTTTTGAGGGAGAAGAGAGAGAGAGTGAAGGTTTGCCTCACTCATAATCTGAAATGCTTTCTGACTGTGGAAATAAATGTGTCTGCCATGAAACTTAACATGTATAAAAGCACAGCAAATACCATAACAGTTTCGAGCCCCCTCTCTCAGGCACTCTGTGTGTTTCTTAACTTAGGCACTCCAAATTGTACATACTTTAGAAGTTACTTTTAATATATATTAATGATACCATTCCCTTGATTAATTGTAAATGCAAAGAGCAGAAGTGTTTGGTTACTCTTCCTTTTCCCATCCCAGGCAATTGAGACTGCCCTGGACTGTTTGAAGAGCGCCAACACGGAGCCCTATTACCGGAGGCAGGCGTGGGAGGTCATCAAGTGTTTCCTGGTGGCTATGATGAGCCTGGATGACAATAAACATGCCTTATACCAGCTCCTTGCACATCCCAAGTATGACAATTCTTTAAACCTAAATGTGTATGTAAAATTTATAGTGTCTATAGAACAACCCGGTTTAGAGGCAATGATTAGTCTGTGCAATTCATGGAATTTTTAACTGCTGGCGAAAAGGAATTTTGTTAGCATAGTGTTTAATGCCAGTGACTTGTGTTAATGTTTCATAGTTTAATTTTCTTCCCCTAATCACAGTCCAATGTATAATCTATTACATATGATCAGACTTCTTTTTAAAATGAATTTTAGTTTCATATATTTAAATAGTTGGAATAGTCTGATACTCAGTTGTATTTTAAAGATTAATTTAAACTGGGATGTTTTGTATGTACATCTAACCTTTTACTAAAGTGAAACAAATTTCACTTTCATTTAGTCACTAAGCTATAGCATAGTCACACACATAACCTCCATTTGTCTTGGTGTGGGAGCTTTTTATTGAATTCTGTTTTACATCTTTTACAATTTTAGTCATTGATACTTAATGAGTGTATTATTTTTAGACAGCTTTAACGTCTCTGCCCAAAAAGTGTGTGCTGACTTCTACTCTTGAAGTGTAGTAAATGTTGCTAAAGAGCATAATAGCTTTCACAGTTTGGACTTCTTAAATTTGACATAAATATAGCTTTGCAATGAATAGGTTTTGTTGGGCAGTGATTTGATAAATACTGTTTCAATCATTCAAGATTAAAATCAAATGTCATTTTAAAAAAGGGGAAAATGTCAAAATATTGAAAATGACATTCTGTAATTGAGTTGCTGTGTGATGCCTGCATACCTATTATTTGTATATACGTGGCTTCTTCTAAACCACTGCCTTTAAATGTTCCTGATGAAATTGAGCTATCCATCATGTTTGAGACCAGTGGTTGACAAAATTAATATGGCCCAACTGAACTGGTCCAGCTCTATCAAAATAAGGGGAAAACAGGAGGTGGAGAAGGAGTTAGATATCAAGAGCAAACTTTAAATCAAGTACTTTCCAACGGTTGTGAATGAGGTGCCAGTGCTGCAGTTTAGGATTATAATGAAGTTCTGTTGTCTTTCAGCTTTACTGAGAAGTCCATACCCAGTGTGATCATTTCCCATCGGTACAAAGCACAGGACACTCCAGCTCGGAAAACCTTTGAACAGGCGCTGACAGGGGCGTTCATGTCCGCGGTGATCAAGGACCTGAGGCCCAGTGCCCTTCCCTTTGTAGCCAGTTTGATCCGCCACTACACCATGGTGGCAGTGGCTCAGCAGTGCGGTGAGTAAAGGGGACACAGATCCTGTGGCCTCTCCTGAGGGGGGTGGAGAAGTTTGTGCTTTTACTCACAGTAATTTTTTTAAGAAACCCATGATGTGACTGTTACCTCTGTGCAACTGTGTTGGGTTTTTTTGCTGATGGATGAATTATGTCTTAATTCTTTTGAGTGTTGAAAATTAAGCAGGTTTTAAAAAACAATCTGTCACCTAATAATACTCTCAAAATGCTGCAGCCAATGAAATAATTGCAGCTTTGAACTGTATATAGTTTTTAGGACAAGAGGGCACAGTCTTAAGCTGCAGCAGGGGAGGTTTAGATTGGACATTAGGAAGAAGTTCTTACAGAGAGAGTGATTGGGATTGGAATGGGCTGCCCGGTGGAGTCACCGTCCCTGGAGGTGTTTAAGAAGAGACTGGATGTGGCACTCAGTGCCATGGTCTAGTAGACAAGGTGGTGTTGGGTCAAAGGTTGGACTCGATGATCTCAGAGGTCTTTTCCAACCTCGTTGATTCTGTGATAGTTCCAGAGCATTTGTGTAACTTGATGCTCACAGTAATTTTTGTGGATGATCTTGAATTGGGTTGTTTCCACTTGTGGTTTTGAAGGACCATTGGAGGAACTAACTGAACATTAGAGCACTGCAGTGTCTTGTATCCATGAAGAAAAGTTTTTGTTTGGATTTGGGCTGTATGACAAGTAATGGGGGAAAAGACATGCTATAGGTGTATCACTCTTCGTTGTCGGATTAATGTAACTTGAATTTTTATGATTCTTCATTTTAATTAAATCTTGCAGTGCACAGTCTAGTGCATAGAAGAAAATATTCAAGTAGATGTAATCTTTTTTTTTCTCCTAAAAGTGAAGAATGCTTTACAATTCATTTATATGCAAATAGGCACAGGGCTTACTGGTTCTGCCGTCAGCTAGTCTGAGGAGTAGTAAAATTTAATTAAAAGACTATTCATATTGAAATATCTATTGTTTTATCTTTATTTCCCCCCTCTCTCTTTTGTGCCCCTTTACAAATTGCAGGTCCTTTCTTGCTGCAGTGCTATCAGGTTGGAAGCCAGCCTAGCACAGCCATGTTTCACAGTGAAGAAAATGGGTCAAAAGGCATGGATCCCTTGGTGCTTATTGATGCCATAGCAATCTGCATGGCATATGAGGAGAAGGAGCTCTGCAAAATAGGGGAGGTGGCTCTAGCAGTGATATTTGATGTTGCGAGCATCATCTTGGGTTCAAAAGAAAGGGTGAGTTTTTTTTAACACATTTAAGTGGTGTAGTTTCAGTCAATGCAATTTTGCTTCTAAAATTTTGGAGGCTACCAATGAGCTGAAAAGGACAAACTGACCCATTTCTTTGTTTCCAGGCTTGTCAGCTTCCCTTGTTTTCGTACATTGTGGAGCGTTTATGTGCTTGCTGTTATGAACAAGCCTGGTATGCTAAACTGGGAGGTGTTGTGTCGATCAAATTTCTTATGGAACGGCTGCCACTGATTTGGGTTCTCCAGAACCAGCAAACTTTCCTGAAGGCCCTTCTCTTTGTTATGATGGATTTAACTGGAGAGGTATGTAATGAATAAATTATATCAAATCATGTGGGGAAAAACTTCTGTTTGTAAATTCACACAGATTGAACTCTTGCTAATCTTGATTTTACTGACCTTCAGAATGCATCATATCTGCAGTAGCTGGGAGTGAATTTTAGTCATTTTAACTTAAACCAAGACCCGAAGTTAGGAATGAGGTCAGATTTTTCCTCATAACTTCACTGAAGTTGTTGGGATTACACTTGTTTCTTTTAGAGTAGAAATGTACAGGCCCCATGCAGGTCACCAAAAGAACATGGATTCACTCTCACTTGTCATAGAATCATTAAGTTTAGTTGGAAATAATGATCAAGTCCAGCCATTAATGGAACGCTGCCATCTTCCCACTAAACTATATCCCCAAGTGCCACATCTGTATGTTTTTTGAACACTTACTGCTTCCCTGGACAGCCTATTCCAATGTTTGACTCTCCTTTCATTGAAGAAATTTCTTTTCCAGTATCCAGTCTAAACCTCCCTTGGTGCAACTTGAGAACATTTCCTCTTTTCCTGAAAAACATGCACAAAACCCACTGATTTTTTTGTTCATTTTGTGTTTAGTTTGAAAGGTGTTCATCTTACCAAAAAACTGTATGTAGTTATATGTACCTAGAGAACCATCTGCCTGGTCATTTCTTGTTGTAAATCACCTGGTGACAACATTGTGAAGGATTCCAATGCTTGAGGTCATTTATAAAATTATGTTGCTCTGCAGCTCACAATTTTGGAATGATTGCTGGGAAGACTGTTTGAATATATGTTCTGTTTAAGTTTTATTTTTATATGGTTTTAACCATTTGCACAGGATTCATCAAAATGAAATTCTAAGTTTGTAGATGAGTAGTGTGTAGGTTTGAGGTCTTTGTTCTGTACTTATTTAATAAAAATAATCTGTGATGCTCCAGGTTTCCAATGGAGCAGTTGCTATGGCAAAGACCACGTTAGAACAGCTCTTGATTAGATGTGCAACTCCTTTAAAAGATGAAGAAAAAACAGAAGAAATCCTGGCAGCACAAGAAAAGTCTTTCCATCATGTAACACATGACCTTGTTCGAGAAGTAACCTCTCCAAACTCTACTGTGAGAAAACAAGCCATGCATTCATTGCAGGTGCTTGCACAGGTCACTGGGAAAAGTGTCACAGTGATTATGGAGCCGCATAAAGAGGTAAGCAGAAATACCTACTGAACCTGAGTTTAAAGTTGTTTTCCAGTTTGGATTTGCAGAAATGCTTTTCTGGGTACATTTTTCCGCATTTATAAATGAAGTTCTTTGTGCTTTGATAGCATATATGTGTCATTTGCTGGGTTTCATTGTTTTAAAGTACACAGTGGCTGGAGCACTATAGAAATTCATACAGCTGTGCCTGACTCTTGGCCAGTATTTATAGTGTCTTCAGGTTGATTTACTTCCTTAAATTATGGACTGCTCATCCAACCACCAAGCAGATATAAGCTAGGCCATGTATATACTGCATTTTGAATGTCCACTTTGTGTTATTCTCTAAATATCAGGCATATTGCTATGCTTTTCCCTATCCAGAAAGGGACTATAAAGATCAAAGCTGGTGTTGAAATAACTTTTAACTAGATACTAATACTAATAGCATTCATTCTCTTGAAAGACAAGTGAATGTGCATGAGCCCTAAGGGTTCATACTAAACTAGAGATGTCATTACTGTAGTTTGGGAACATGCAGACGAGCCTCCTAATTGATATCTTGTTTTGCTAAAGATGTTTATGGAGGAGAGTTAGAAGTTTGCGTAATGGAAAGAAGTTACACTAACTTTTTTGTTTTTCTAATGTTTCAGGAGCTTAAAATATTCTTGTTTCTTTACTTGAATGTTTGAAATGCTTCAATCTATGAATTTCTTTGTTGTTTATAATGCCATGTGAAGTTATTAAATATAATAGATATATTTAACAGAGAATATGTATTAATTACAGATACTGCATTGTTTTGTGAACTGGCTGAATTAAATTAGTTCAGAGAAATACTTTTGTTCTTACTTAATGATTTCTCAAGCCATACATCTGGAGCAAATGGATAGAAATATGCAGCCATGACTAGTGGTGTCTTCTCTGTGCCTGGGTCTGTGGGGTCATTTGAATAGGATACTAATTCAGTCATCTAAATTGTGTTGTGTAGGTTCTCCAAGACATGGTTCCTCCTAAAAAGCATTTACTTAGGCATCAACCTGCAAATGCCCAGATTGGCCTGATGGAGGGAAATACCTTTTGCACAACCCTGCAACCCCGATTGTTTACAATGGATCTGAATGTTGTTGAACACAAGGTTTTCTACACAGAGGTACTTTCTCTTTATGTTCTTATATTTGAATGTAGATACTAATTAGTGATGGTGTTAGTACTTTCATTGTTAAAAATACACATTTTTCTTTGTGCGTTTTAAAACTTTCAAAAGGTGAAATGTGAAGGTTGATTAATGTGTTTCCATAAACTTGGCTCTGAGGAAACAAGACTCAAAAGGTACAGTTTCAAATGTGAGTCACAATGCTAAAATGATTGTTTATTTTTTCCTAGTTATTGAATTTATGTGAGGCTGAAGATTCTGCCTTAATGAAACTACCTTGTTACAAAAGTCTTCCATCTCTTGTACCTCTTCGAATTGCAGCCTTAAGTAAGTTAAATCCTGAACAAAGTTTGATGTAGTTAAGTGTCCTTGTGAGCAATGGGCAGTTTACTTCCCAGGATCAGCAGAAAACCTGAGCCCTGGAAGACTGATGACTGCTCTCTAGAGGTCACAGTTTAATGGAGAGAATAATGGGAAAGTATTGCTGCTTTCTTAATGACTAGAATTTAGTTTCTGAAATGAACCCTAAACATTTTGAGATTAATTATGTTATATAGCATTAGGAAAACTTAAGAACACTAATGGAGTTCCCATTCTTTTACTGTTTTATGATGTATCTCGTTTTTGGCAATGCATGTAGTACTTTAGCTATTTGTAATTTAAGATGACATAAAAAGAAACTAGAAGTGGTGTAGAATTAGGGTTTATTTTCCCCTCTCTTTTGAAATTGTGTTAACAAAGAGAACAAATTTCCTTTGATATTTGCAGATGCTCTAGCTGCTTGCAATTACCTGCCTCAGTCAAGAGAGAAGATCATTGCTGCACTCTTCAAGGCACTGAATTCGACAAATAATGAACTGCAGGAGGCAGGAGAAGCATGCATGAGAAAGGTGACTGTGTTAAACAACATTCCTTTTGAGGCCATTGTTCTCTCTGCTTTACTTCCTTGGTACAAAGCTTCTTGGGAAAGTTCTCTACAGGAAATACTGGCTGCTCTGTTCAGTTTTTGTTAGTGACACTGATAAAAGTTTCTGTCAGATGTGGTTTTCTGAGGGCCTGAACTTAGCCATACGAATTATCCAACTTGAAATTGGGCATTGTAAGTTCTTGGATAAGGACCATGGTAAATCTTTTCAGTCTTTCTGTCCAGCTGGAAGGACAGGGAAAAAGATATTCGTTCATCATGATTTGTTGTCCAATAACTGTGCCTAGTTCCAATTCAGCAAGATTTTAATACTATTCTTCTAAATGAAAACAAAGCTAATGAAATTACAAAGATGCTGTAAGTAATGATGTGTAGATTGGCTGACATGTAACAGGGAATGTAACTCTTTGCATTTGTTTATGCCATTGACTGACCGAAAGTCAGATGTCTTTTCCTGTCACTCTGGTCATGAGAGGGAATGTACTTATTATTTATAGCTTGTTGACAATACAGTTGGGTTGAGAGCTAAGAGGGAGAAAATAAGATTGTTTGACCTACACATTAAATTTTTTTAGTTTTTTTCCTGTGATAAATTCACACCCACAGGATGTTTGATTATGACAGGAAATATTCTCTCTGGCTGCTTGCAGTCAGGTTCTTCTGACCTTTTATGTTGCTCAGGATGCATGCAGATTGTCACACAGAAATTTGCTCTATTGCCTTTGGCCACATTCACAGGCAGTTCTTAATAAAGCAGTGTCTAAGTAGTTAATCCATAGCTTTGTATTTCATTTATAGCTGTAGCAGTTTTTCAATCTGTCTATATTACGATCTCCTACTTGATTATTTTATGGAATATCCTACAGTGTGTCAGAAATACTTCAGTGCTTCCCAAATCCATCTTGTCACTGGATACATTTCCAGCAATAAGTGTTGTTTGAGCTATTGCATTCTGAAAGGGCAAAATACAACAAGAAAAATCAAGTCAGCTGAATCTCTTTAAGAAAGATGCTTTCACAGAAGTCACTGCCCTCTCCACCTGTATCTTAGTCATGTACTCTCTTGCAGTTCTTGGAAGGAGCTACCATAGAAGTGGATCAAATCCACACCCACATGAGACCATTGCTGATGATGTTGGGAGACTATCGAAGCCTGACCCTGAACGTTGTGAATCGTTTGACATCAGTTACCAGACTTTTCCCAAACTCTTTCAATGATAAATTCTGTGATCAGATGATGGTAAGCCCATTCGAGTTTTTTCTTTAGCTCTTCCCCAAGAAATTTTCTTCTAGCTACTGTTTGTATTGGTGAAAAGTCAAAGAACAATTCAGTAGTGACTCAATGTGTGTATTGGAATTGAAAGATTTTTGTTTCACAATTAATAAAAATGCAATTTCTTTAAACATTTTGAGTGTATTTCTAAAGAGCTGCTAAACCAAAAAGTTAAGAGATGTTATTTTTTAGTGAAGACATACCTACTTATGCTAAGGTCTGCTTGGACAAATTTATCTTTAAGCAAGGTGCCACCAGTACCTTGAAAATATGTTTTACTTCCTAATGGACTAAGTCTCTGTTGGTGCTTTCTTGATTTATTAAATTTTGGAAGCTATTGCAGTGTTTATGTGCAGTTTTTAAACTGTATATGGGAATTCTTGATCCTTTTGGCATGGATATTTAAATGCATACATATCATGCAAATGATTAAACAAGTGTAAACCTATCAGACTTAGGTTTTTTGTGGTCTGTAATGTAAGTACTCTTATGATCCCTGCTTAGGTGAATATGGAGAGGGCTTTTAGTAACAGAAAACTTTTCAATCTGAGGGAATGAAAATAGCTAATAATTTTTCCCATTATTTTCTTCAAAGAATTGTTTCTGCCTCTACTTCTTTTCTTTTAGATAATGCTAAAATGGAACAGTCTAATTAGAAGAGTAATACTAATTATCCTCTCTTTATAGCAACACCTGCGTAAATGGATGGAAGTTGTAGTTATTACACACAAAGGTGGACAACGGAGTGATGGAAATGTAAGTTAACGAAAGCTTTTATGTGAGAAGAGAAGAAATAAGTGGTATTAACGTTTTAGAATTACAGAACTCATTCAGCTGTAAATGTTGCCATGACCGATTACACACTGATGCTTTGTTACAAGCTAATGAACTTGTATCTATATTGAATATTTGTTTGAAATCTCAGTAAGAGGAGCTTCTTATCTGCTTAAAAGGGTTACTTTAAAGACTTTACTTACAGGTTGGTGTGGGAACAGCTCAAGGATTTTTTTTTTCCCCCCCTCAGGATTTTCTGCTTAGAAATCTGCTCTTCATTGGAATGGCTGATGAGCTCAGCAGCATAATCCCTCTTTTCTTCAGTAATATGTTTGATGTTCCTAACATAGTCTTTTGAAAATTATACATAATGATAATATAATCCCAGTTAATTGTGAATTACATTTATTAAAACCAAGTTCAGTATTTACTTGTTGAGATCACATTAAAATCTCTCTCCCACTGAAACTAATGGTCTCAGTGTTAACTATGGGAAGCTGATTAGTTGTCTTATAAATGGAAAATTGTGCAGTAATGTCAATACTGTGTGCTCTCAGCAATACAGCACTGATGGGAATTCCTGCTTCAGTGTAGTTTTATGTAGATTGTCAGAAGTCCCATAATTCTATTAATGTTTTACTTATCACTTATATTGAGTGTTGAGATTTATTATTGGAACTAGGAAGAAATGGGGAGAATTTCATTAATATCTTTGTTTTTCAAATTAGGATGAAATTAGATTGGCTTTTTATTTCCCTTAAAACGTGGAAATGGCTTAATGGCTTTTCATTTATCTTTCCTGTCACTGCAAAGAGAGCTTTTAAATGTGAATTTGATCATTGCTTTGTGTTAGTCCTAGATGTTCTCTAATGGAGGTGAATAGAATTTTTCTTATGTTTTAACTGAAACACTGTGCATTTTTCAGTTAACACATTCTATTTGGGTCAGAGTTGTTCTAAGGCCTTCATATTCTTCTCTTGGGATTCACTTTTCAAATGTGATGATTACAGATATCTTGCATATCTTTTATTAGCAGTAGTCTTTTAGACCACAATGTGGCACCTCTAGACCAGTTTTTAGTTGTGCCTAAATCATGTTTAGTTGGGAATTCTCCTGCTTTTAATGTTTTTTATTAATGTTTTCTATGTAATTGTGTGTTTAGTCTCCTAAATCTGTAATTTTTTTTTAATGTTGGTTTAAAACAGTGGTATGTTGAGGGGGAGGTGCACACCAGACACTTGAGAAAGAATCTACTGTCACATCTTGAGTGAGGAGAGAAGTCTCTGGAATCATTTCAAATAGGACTGTGTGACTGCAGAGCTGATTAAATATTACTTTTCCACTCTCTAGTTGTTGCTCTAAAGTTTCCTTAAAAAATAAAAACTCAAGGAGGACACAGACAGCATGGTCCATGTGCCAGTTGCTGTGGCAGGCAGGTGTCTGTATGTACATTGTGCAGTTGCTGTCATTTTGTCTTCTAAATGTAGAAAAACTGGGATGGTGAGACTGGTGGTGAGTTGTTGTAGCTGGCATTTCACTTAGTCTTGTTTTTTTCCTGATCATAATGAGATTCCAAAATCTGAGATACTCACTTAGGAGCAATGATGGGGAGTGTTATCAGGGTTGGATCATTCAGACCGCCTGGTTAAATACCGATGATGGTAGAAACACATTGGAGAAGAGAACTGATTGGGAAAGCCTGGTGTTCCCTACCTGTACAAGGGGCTGTTACAATCATTTCATCTCTTGCCAGAAGCACTGGGTCAAGGTGCCATTTGATGGCAATGTGGGTGTCGTGCAGTTCTCCAGCAGAGTGCAGATAGTGCCTGGTCAGCAAGGCTTCTTCATGAATAGTTCAAAAGTCTGTGGAATGAGTTTTCATATGTAAATGGTGACTGTAGACAAACTAAAAACTTCAGATTTTTCAGTTAAAAATTCTGCATAATAATTGATGACTATCATAAAGATCCACATTGATGCCAGAATAACTAAGCCTTCTGTTCACCTAAATAATTTATGGCAGTCCTGCTGTGATCCTGAACTGTGACCTGGCTGTTTAGAGAAATGAACAAATTAAAACATAACATATCAACTAGTGATTAAAATCTAATTCATTGGCCCAGTGAGTGAAATGCTTGATTTAAACCCTTCTTCCTCTCTTCCCTGCCTCCCTAAGGAAAGGCATGGGATTTTAGGTCATGTCTGGTAATTGAAAGAGTAAGTTTTGACTAGATGGTTGCCTCCAACTGTCCCTCTTGTGAGAGGGTGGAAGTTTCCTTGGTGGAATTTCCATGGTGGAAATTCTGCATTACAGCCTAAGAGGACTTGGTAGCTTTAGTGGACTTTATAGCTTGACAGTTCGAATACTGAAAGTGGTTTCATAATTGGTGGTTTCATAATTGGTGCTGGCCAAATTTGTCTTTGAAGATGCTAAAATATGGTTTCCCCTAACTTAATAGTCTCTAATATCTCTTTATTCAGTATAAATATTTGAGAAACTGTGTCTAATCAGTGTACAAGTAGGAAAAAGGATGCTTTTCATCCTAGTTCTTTGGAGGGCAGTTTGGAGCATGTGAGATACTCATTGTCTCAATTCTTTCCATTTGAGATGAGAAAGTAACTGTACTGAAGTTAGACTGCAGCCTGAAGAATAGCATGTACTCATTTGTACATTTATTTGATATTTTTGTGGGCTTTTTCTTTTCATGCTGTGACTTCTGTTCTGGTTCAGCCTGCTGCAGAAGGGCTAGAGGTGAGAAAATCAGTGGAGGCACAGGAAGTTCTTTTTGTTGTCATGGGTTTTTTTGTTGTAGTTGTTTGTTTTTATTTTTTCTTTTAAACTGTGGTTTGTTAGTTTTATTGTTGTGTTTTGGGCAGAGTGCATTGTGCCTTTGAGTGCAGTGCTGTGAATTGTCCTCTGTTTGTCTGTGGCAGAGTTGTTTTGATGCCATTGCTGTTAAGGACGTTAAGCATGTTTGTGCTGAGAAGAGCAGGAGTTTGTTTCTCTGAAGGCATTAGTAGTTTCAAAAGTTTTTGTTCTTGTTCTCAGTCCTGCACTTCAATCCAGGAGAGTAGTTTTGTCGGGGTCTGTCTGCACAGATCATGTTAAAGGAGTGGGGCCTAATACTTTGTGTTTAAATTCAGTTGAGGAAATGCAGTGCCCTTGGTAATATTTTGCACATTAGAACTTGGTTTTAGAGAGAGGTGAAGGTGGATGTTTTGTTTTTTTTTCCTTTCCCTTTTCTTACTGAAGGAAATCCACAGTCTAGCTAACTGAAATACAGTCTCCATTTAAATCACACAATGAAAAAAAGATGCAAAATTATCTTTTACTTCTGGAGAATTTAATATCTAGTGGGAGAACAGAGCTGACTTTTCTTTGAAGTAACAAGCTATTTGCAAGATAGAGTGAGCAGTGCTGTGGGAAAACTGTCTTTCTTTTCCCTGACATGTAATCTGGGGGTGTGGGGTGTGTATGAGAAATTGTTTAGATGGGAAGGTCTGGCTGTCATGCACGAGCCACTTGGTGTGGGGGAGTGAGCACTCTGGAACTCCCCCATCAACAGTATTGTTGCACAGTGTTTAGCTCTTACCTGTAAAACACCACTATACTGACAAAGAAAATAAAATTTAAACCATGATGTTACAAGGGGGGCAGGGCAGGCTTCCACAAGAGCAATTGTTTCATACATTGTGGTAAGCAGATGCTGTATAAATGTTAACCCTTTACATTTGGTTGCTGGCTATGCTAATATGGAGAGGAACAAATAAGTAAGATGTGTGATACTGTTTTTATACATTGTAGCTGGTAATGTTTAATTCAACCCTGTTTCTTTTGACCTGTAGGAAATGAAGATTTGTTCAGCAATTATAAATTTATTCCATCTGATCCCAGCTGCCCCACAGACTCTGGTTAAACCTCTCCTGGAAGTTGTTATGAAAACAGAACGAGCAATGTTAATTGAGGTAAAAGTGGAAGTTAACATTGCTGAAATTTTTACTTTACACTATTTTTAAACATTGGTGTATAATAATTATAATATTTTAAATGTGACGTGGGAACATTTGATGTAATAAAATGTTCTCTTCAAGCCTCTGGGAGGTATTAACATTTGTCTTACACTCTTAGAAGTTAAGTTTTTAGAGTGTCAATAAATTGTCATCATGAAACTTCTGAACATTTTGTATCTGCATGAATGCCAAGTCAAATGTATTTTTCTGAGTGGTAGTAAATTAGTTGAAAATATTCTATACTCTGCATTTTTAATTTAAACTTTGTGAATTTTTCAGGCTGGCAGTCCATTCAGGGAACCACTGATAAAATTTTTGACACGTCATCCATCCCAGACTGTGGAGCTGTTCATGATGGAAGCCACTTTAAATGATCCCCAGTGGAGCAGAATGTTTATGGTAAGCTGTGTGGGAAGGGGACAGGAAAAAGCCCTCAACTTCACAAATCTGGTGAACAAAAAGCTTTTCATCTGTTGCACCTTTTTTTGCTGTATGACCTTGTAGTCCTTAATTATGGTCTTACTCTGACTGTAGGGTGCCTATTCTTGAGTTTGTATTTGTTTGTCCTGAAGTGTTGATTTTATACCTTTCCACATCATGTAGGGCTGTTACTGAAGTTGTAGGCAGTGTTTTTATATACGTGAAATACGACCTCTGCAACTTTAGTGAGGGATATAAAAGCTTCAGGATAATATAACCTTTTGGCATTTTGGCTTTTAAAGGTTATTAAAATTATTTCTTCCCCTTTTGCAGAGTTTCTTAAAGCATAAAGATGCCAAACCCCTGCGAGATGTCCTGGCAGCTAATCCCAACCGATTTATCACTCTGCTCTTGCCCGTCGGTACCCAGGCAGCCGTGAGACCTGGGTCTCCAAGCACCACCACAATGCGTCTGGATCTGCAGTTCCAAGCTATCAAAGTATCATTTATTCTTGTTTATCTTTGCTCTAGACAGTTAAAAACTCTTCAGCTGCAAGCCTCTTACATTACAGGCTTTCAGTGTGCGTGTGTGTGTGTGTGTGTATTACAGGTCATAGAAAAACATGTGAAGTGTTTGTAGTTAGAGTCACTCTGAGAAGGAAAAAGAGACTCAAATTAACTACACTTTTTTATCAAGTAGGATACAAGAGGAAAACACGGCAATTCTGCAACAATTGTTACAGAAACTTATTTTTTTAATCTAAACTATTTTGTATTTCACTTTTTTTACTGGTGAATATTTTAGAACTTTTAATTGCCCTTAAAGAAGTGTTTTTATGTCACTGTTTCTACTGACAGACCTGTTGTGTGTTGACTGTGCATTTGTCTTGTTTTTCTTTGGGCAGATCATAAGCATTATTGTTAAGAATGATGAATGTTGGTTAGCAAATCAACATTCCTTGGTGAATCAGCTGAAACGTGTGTGGGTGAGTGAAGCTTTCCAGGAGAGACACCGTAAGGAGAACATGGCTGCGACAAACTGGAAGGAACCAAAGCTGTTGGCATATTGCTTATTGAATTACTGCAAGTAAGTAAAAATGTTGATTTCCTATGCCTTCCATGCATTGTTTTAAAAATTTTAGTGCTATAAAGATATGTAAGGCTACTAAAAATGGTTTGCAGTTATTGAAGGGAATGTATAATATATTTCATAATACTTCCACTAGCTCTAAAACCACACCTCTGGTACTGCCTGCTGTTGCCTCTCTGCTCCTTTAAAACCAAGATTAGTTTCATCAGCATAGTAGGTTGTGTATTTTTTCACAGAAGCTTTGTATTTTACGTGTTTTTCAGAAGGAATTATGGTGATATAGAGTTACTCTTCCAGTTGCTGCGAGCTTTCACGGGTCGATTTCTCTGCAATATGACTTTCTTAAAGGAATATATGGAAGAAGAGATCCCTAAAAACTACAGTATTCCCCAAAAACGGGCTTTGTTCTTCCGGTTTGTAGACTTGAATGACCCAAACTTTGGAGATGAGCTCAAAGCCAAGGTAACTAAAGCAATTAAATCAAAGAAGCCTGGTATTTAGGTTTAATTTTCTTCTTGGGAACTAGGGCAACAAAACTTGCTTACTTAAATGTCAACGAGTTCGATAATTGGCAGAGCCATTTAGATGAAAATATCATACCTGAAGAAGAGTGATAATAAACAGAGACAGCAATTCATCTTGCTTTCATTGCTGACTAAGAATCTTTCTAAGAATCTTTGTCCTTGGAAGGAAGGAAGAGGGGGAAAAAAAATCTGTGTGTGTCTTTTTCTTAGGGTTTTATTTATAGCTTCCTTTTGTAACACGGTGAGTGTGTCCAACGTGCAGGTTTGCTTATAAAAGTACTTGAATGTTGGCTGCCATTCCAAGAATGCAGTAGTTCAGGGTAACTTTTTTAATTTATATTCTGTAGGTGCTGCAACATATCCTGAATCCTGCTTTCCTGTACAGTTTTGAAAAGGGAGAAGGTGAACAGCTGTTAGGACCTCCAAACCCAGAAGGAGATAATCCAGAAAGCATCACTAGTGTTTTTATTACAAAGGTAACAATCCTTGTTTACACTGAAGTGTGTGAAAATTAAAACAAAAAGTTGTTCCTCTCATTTGGATTTTCAATCCTAATTTGAATTAGTTGTGCTATTCTGAATATTATGATCTGTTACATCAAATGGCTTCAGAACACTGAACATGAGATCCATCAGTCATCAGTAGGACTGGACTACAATTTTCATTTTGATACCTTCAGAACTTGAATATCTGTCTTTAAAGATGGGCTGTAATCCCATGGCTGAAATCCCAGTCTTATAAGGAAAGCTTTCCATGACTGAACAGCAGTACCTTTCTAATTCACTGCTATTTCATGAAACCAATTATAAAAAAAATGTTGAAGATGAGGCTTGGGATTTTTGATTTATTTATTTTTATAGGCTAGCACTTTGGAAATTCCCAGATGTGCTCATTATTTAAAAGTTCACACTTCAGGAGGTTGTTTTGAGGGTATTAAACCGAGTCAAAAAAGTAATTACAGGTTTTAGTCTTCTTAAAAACCACTCAAAAAGCAAAAGGCCAAGACTTTGCTTTTATAATAATAAAACTTGCAGGATTTTTGGGTTTCTTTTTTTTTTCCCTCACTTTCCTTCTCTCCTCTTTAATAGGTACTTGATCCAGAAAAACAGGCTGACATGCTGGATTCCCTGAGGATATACCTGCTGCAGTTTGCCACGCTGCTGGTCGAGCACGCCCCGCATCACATCCACGACAACAACAAAAACCGCAACAGCAAACTGAGGCGCCTCATGACCTTTGCCTGGCCCTGCCTCCTGTCCAAGGCCTGTGTGGACCCAGCCTGCAAATACAGTGGCCATTTGCTTCTGGCACACATCATTGCCAAATTTGCCATCCATAAGAAGATAGTTCTACAGGTACTGGGCTTGTGTTCGTTTGTTTAGGGGATGTGGGTAAGTTCTGCAGTGTGCTTTATTTTAAGATTCAGGGTAGAAGCTGCACAGTGGGTTTGAATACTTAGTATGAAGGGAACAGTTAAATTCAAATACCACAAATACAGAAGGAGCAGGCCAAATATTTAATATAATTTACTTGTGGATAGGAGAGTGTAGAAAAAAGTTTGAAGGTAAGTGAAAACAGGGAGGATAAGTGGGACAATGAAAAGTCCTTGGTTGAATTAACAAAAATTGGGAATGTTTCTTCATTTAAGAGACAGACACTTCAGTTGAGACAGAATGTGGGGACCAAGGGAAAACTTTGAATTGGACAGTGGAGATGGAGGAAGAAAATGGAATGTAAAGGAAACAGAAGTACATGCTGTATGCTTCTGATGATGATATATCATCATATATTTAACAAATTATGGACCTTTAGGAAAAAATAGTGTTTTTTTAGAAAATATATGTTGTAGTTTCTCTTTCTTTATAAATGCTTTGTTTTTGTAAATACGTATAGTTATTAATGTTGATCAGAAACTTTGGTGTTTAGGTTTTTCACAGTCTTCTAAAGGCTCATGCCATGGAGGCCCGAGCTATTGTCAGGCAGGCCATGGCTATTCTGACTCCAGCTGTGCCCGCTCGGATGGAGGATGGACATCAGATGCTCACTCACTGGACGCGAAAAATCATTGTGGAAGAGGGTCATACTGTTCCCCAACTAGTGCATATTTTGCACTTGATAGTACAACATTTCAAGGTACTTGTACCAGTTATTCTGGTAGTCATTGTATCTCCCACATCAAGGAAGTAAACTGCAGTTTGATTAGAAAAATAACATACTCTGATTTATATGGTTTAGCTGCAAAATATATAATCTGTCTCTAAAGATACTTATCTATAACTGAAAACAACTATTTAGTAGCAAATGATTTATTAAGCTCTATCATGATTGAAGTTAAAACGTCAGTGTCAGATGAGATGAACTCATTGCACAAACACGAAACAAATGAGGGAATGCTGCAGAATGTCAGCATAGGATCACTTTTGAAAATGCATATTAAAATGCAATCCAAAGGGACAGCTAATACACACTTAAGGCACTTTTCAGGAAAGATGCCTCAGCCCTTTTTGAAAGAATATCTGAGTGTGTTCAAATGTGAATTGAACCTCTTTAAAGGGTTGGCAAAAAATTGGCATGATTGGTCCTGGAGAAAAATTGTGACTCTTAAAAAGAACATGTTCATTTGGGTACATGAAATCAGGAATCCCTACTGAAAATTGTAGCCAAAATTTTATTTCAAAGTACCAGTTACTTTTCCAGATGGCAAAATTTGAATGTGGTTCAGATTTAGCAAACTCTGGAATTGATGACTATTTTACCATTTTGCTTTATTTCAACTTTCTAGTTTTTGTGTAGAATTTTATTGGTTAATGACTAACATTTCTGTGAAACCATTTTTTCAGGTTTATTATCCAGTGAGACATCACTTGGTTCAGCATATGGTTAGTGCCATGCAGAGACTGGGCTTCACTCCCAGTGTTACAATAGAGCAAAGAAAATTAGCTGTGGATCTTGCTGAAGTGGTTATTAAATGGGAATTGCAAAGAATTAAAGACCAGCAGGTAGGAAGTCTAAATAAGAGGTTAAAGAATGAACTGTTACACAGTTAAGTGTAGTTTTTTTAACATGCACACTGCTGATATTTCAGCCAGATTCAGATATGGACTCAAGTGCAAGTGGAGAAGGAGCATCTGCGTCATCTGCTGTTAAAAGAGGATTGTCTGTGGATTCTGGCCAAGAAGTTAAACGATTCAGGACAGCTACAGGAGCAATAAGTGCTGTAAGAAAAAATCAGGGTTTGTTCAGAGACTCTGAAATTAAAACATGCACTGACTAAGCAATTCAGTGTAATTTTTTTTCCCCCATAACTCAAACTCCCTAAATTGAAGGTTTTGGCTTTAGGAAATATTTTAAATCTGTTCTTGTTGTTTTCCTTCTTCAATCTTGCTTATGGGTTTTGTGTTTTGTGTACATGCAGGTGTTTGGACGTAGCCAGTCCCTGCCAGGAGCCGATGCCCTCCTTGCCAAGCCGATTGACAAGCAGCACACAGACACAGTCGTGAATTTCTTGATTAGGATCGCTTGCCAGGTAGTGTGTTTGTTCTGATATGCAAATACCAGTAGCCAAAAACATAAACCCCTCTCTTCATACAGGCCCTTTTATGCTTGGATTATTCTAGTGTTCCTATACTTTGTTTCCTTGATTCATTTATGTGTTTGCGTGGTGCTGCAAAGTATAGTTGTGCTATTGCCTGGGTTAAAGAGCAAGAATACTTCACCCCAAAACTAAATATTTGGAGAGTTTAATAGGGAATGACTATCAATTACATATGTAAGGATAATGATTGTAGTTGTATTTTCAAGATCCAATACATGGGATTAATTTTTGTTTTTCATCCGGCTTGTAGAACTGAAGCTTTTCACCAAATTCTCAGAGAATTAACTTTTCTAGAATGGGGAAAATTAGATGGGTGTAGCTCAAAGCTGAGAAGTTTTATGGCTTCTGCTCCTGCAGGAGACTCAGCTGGTAATTAGCATGGGATTTTATACACCACAGTCTATTGCACAGAGTAGATGGGCTCTTAAGTATATAGATGAATTAAGTAAAGAGCTGCATATGTTTATAGGTACCTTGCAAACAGTAAAGATTAACCATCTTGAGCATGTTCAGAGTCCTAGCAATAAAGTATGGGATGAAACTTTTTTTTTAAATACACCTTTGATGGGTGATTTGGGGTAATTAGCTGGCAATTTAGACACCAGTTCTGGTGTTTACTATTAGTTGTCAGCTTTTTATGCATTTAAAGGCTCTGTGACTGTACTGATAAAACTACTTAAGCCTATCTGTTGCAGAACTAAGAAATTATATGCTTGCTTAGAATACATAATAAATTAATGAGCTGGTTACTAAAGGGTGTAATTCTGATGAATTGGTAGGTAAATGACAACTCCAACACTGCTGGATCTCCTGGGGAGTTGCTGTCTCGCCGCTGTGTCAACCTGCTGAAAACAGCTTTACGGCCAGACATGTGGCCCAAGTCAGAGCTGAAGCTGCAGTGGTTTGACAAGCTGCTAATGACTGTGGTAAGTTATGTTCTAGTCCTGGAGGGCTTTGGGTTTCACTGGCACGTGAGATATCTGGATGCTGATTTTTTACAGTACTAATCTTTTCTTCACTGTAGCGGAATAGATAAATTGTGAAGTATGTGAATGGCATCAGTGGTTATAATTTGTAGAGCTGCAGTACTTAATGGTTGGTGGGCTTTTTATTTTTGTGGGGTTTTTTTTCTTAGTTGGAAGTTTTACGGATTGACTTTATTGATTCCTGGTTTTCTGACTACATTATGGTACTATGAAGTTCACTGAAAGGCTAGCTCTCTGTAATTGATGATACAACATTTTATTTATAATTTTTATGCTGTTTGTGTGCTTTCTGCCATATAAGTTTTTCTGCAACTATTTTGTTTGTATCATACTATTTAATAGACTAGTAACTGTTAGTAGATGGTCCTTGAAAGGGCAAATAACTATTTCCATCCTTTTCTCCTTTTCCTCTTGGAAGAGCTTTTATTGTGACTCCATTTGTTTTGGGTTTACAAGTGTTGATTGTGCTCCAGGGAGCTCATATTTGTTGCTTTGCTCACCTTTTCCCAAGTAGTGGGAAAGTGTGTGAAAGTGAGTGAAAGTAGTGTGCAAAGTGAGTGAAAATTGCCATTAAAATGGATAATTTATGAATAATTTACTATCTTAATAATAGTTTAATTCATTTACAAATATACATCCAGGAATTTTTTTTCATTAGGTGCAAATATTCCCTTTTCTATACTTTAAACTATAACTTATCATAAAATAGGCTGGTTTAGCTCTTCACTGAAGGCCTGTCTCTGAAAGGTGTTGACAAGGAAATCAACCACCATTCTCTGTTGACAGCATTTCTAACCAGCAAGGTTGCAGGCAAATTTCAAACCTGAGCATCACATAAAACACCAGATACCTGTACGTGCTCAAGTAATATTTTTATGGCTAAAGATTTTGTAGTGCCTGTTTTTTTACAGTTTTATACTGCATGACTTATCCAAAAGATTGATCTGAAGCATCACTATTGTAGAAACCTCAACCTTATTATAGACTTTCAACAGATTTGAGCTGAACTTGGTAATCTGTGTAATTCTTACGTGTTTTATCCCCCACTCACTGCCTTTTTGCACATTTCTCTTTAGGAACAACCCAACCAGGCCAACTTTGCCAACATTTGCACCGGTTTAGAGGTCCTGAGTTTCCTGTTGACTGTGCTGCAGGCCCCTGCTATCCTGAGCAGCTTCAAGCCCCTGCAGCGAGGGGTGGCCGCCTGTATGACCTGTGGGAACACCAAGGTGCTGAGAGCAGTGCACAGTTTGCTCTCTCGCCTCATGGGTATTTTCCCTACAGAACCAAGTAAGTGGTATTTTCTTCCTCCTTTTGTCTTTTACTGCTGAATAACTGAAGTGGTTAAGGGTGGGGTGAAGGCACTTTTTGGAATGTGCTAGTATTCTGTTTTATGATTCCTACATTTAATGGTCCATTTTAGCTTGCACTTTCAACCTCTGTTTAAAAAGGAAAAGCTGAAATAAGTAATCATGTGGAATACATCATTATCCATTGACATAAAAACTTAATAACCTGTGGCTGTCATAACTTTAGTTCAAGGAATGCATGCTATAAATTTAATGTATTTTTGCAATTAGAATTTTTCAGCTTCAGAAGTGCAATTTTTTTAGTTGTTAAGCTTTGCTGTTTTGCTGAAAAAAGAGGGGAGATAAAGTGTAAAAAAGAAAGGCAGTAGGTAATATGCTGTGTCTTAATAGAAACTAATTTAGGTAATCTCTTGGAAAAAAATAAATCTGTAATGTAAAACTACTCATCAAATTGAGTTACTCAGAAGAAGTGGTTTACTATTATAAAATACATACTGGTTTTATAATAAAGAGGTTTATATAAATGACAGATCTGCTTGTGTTACCTTGGTTTGTTGACAAGATGAAACTCCAGTGATGTTTTATCAGCTGAGTGTTCAGAGTGTAACTGCTCCTTGCCTGTTCTGTGGCTAATCTTATCAAAAGCAAACACACCTTTCTCTACTCTGCAGGTACCTCAAGTGTAGCTTCAAAGTATGAAGAGCTGGAATGCCTTTATGCTGCAGTTGGAAAGGTTATTTATGAAGGATTGACTAATTATGAAAAAGCCACCAACGCCAACCCTTCCCAGCTCTTCGGTACGTGTCCCACTTCTCTGGGAGCTGGATGTGGAATGCCCTTCATGAGTCAGGTCTTTGCCATGAGCTTCCATTTGCCATGAGGAAGTTGCAATCTGATATCATGCAGAGGAAGCTGTGGGAAGCATTTCAAGCTGCCTTGAGATGAGCTCGGGGTGTCTCATCTGTGAGGAAAGGGACTGGAGGGGGTTCATTGTGTTCTGTCTTCTCCCGGTAGCTGATTTGGGAGCAATTATTGGAGCTGCAGCTGTAATAGATGGAAGCCTTCTGTATGCAAAGTGCATAGGAAAGAAGGTGCAGCATTCAAATTAACCAAATAATAAAGTGAAGTTACTGGAAAGTTGTTACATGGAAAAAAACAAATCCTGCAGAGTACTCTGAGATATAGTAGAATAGTTGAAGGAATCTGTGTACACAGTTACTGCCTTATAGTTTCTTTTCCAGTTTTTTTAAAGTCTTATTTATCAGATTTAGACAGTGTAGAAAGATTTATGTATTCATAGGTCTTAAGTTCTCAGTAAGCAAGAAAGTACAAAAATGCTATTTTTTCTTGAGTGAGAAAATCTGAATTTTTAGTGTATACTATTCTGAAGAGCTGAAATGTTTCTTTTTTTTTCTTGGTTTTTTTTTTTTTTTACTTAACTGGTAGAGAACTCAGATACATAATAGAATGACAAAGATGTATTGGAATAATAGAGTGTGGTCCAGGACTGGTTGTGTTGGTAATACAGACTTGAAATTGTACAATGTTGGAAAAGTTGCTGATTTAAATGGCAAATGTCCTTCACTATTCTATTCTGTGAGCTTTGTAGATGGTTGTAATTTCGCTTTGGGAATTGCCTATTTGTCAGATGTCAGGACAAGCTTTACAACAAACTAACCAAGAATGATGTTTGTTACATTTTGTCCAGAGTTCCCTTAAAAGCAGCACCACAATCCAGCTGTCAGGTCGTGCATATTGTAATAATTCTGTGGCTCAGAGGCTGAACTTTGTGGGCTAAATGTTGTTCCCATCTGAGCACAGAAAGAAATGTTTTTTTTAATGGGATGTGTGTGCTTCTTGAAATCTATTTAGACTTCTAGTGTTTGTAACTTGGGCAGTCCTGTGCTTCTTTCATGGCATCTGTATTTTGCTCAGGTCACACCCAAGAGAGGTTTTAATTCCTAAAGTCATGTTTTTATCTCTAGGGACTTTAATGATCCTGAAGTCTGCCTGCAGCAACAATCCCAGCTACATTGACAGGCTCATTTCAGTTTTCATGAGATCCCTGCAGAAGATGGTCAGGGAACACTTGAACCCACAGGCAACAGCGGGAACTGCAGAAGCAAATACAGGTATTTATATTATATCACCTGTTAATGATTAGAAATGTTGTAAAGTATTAAAATATCTTCACCTCAGAGATTTAAATGATTTTTCAGAGTTTGTGTGCATTATTACATGTTAGAAAATACTTAGTGAGAAGCATTACTGAAGTATTGAAGACTAAAAATACACTTATGAATTCCATTTTCCAGCTTAATATATGAATGTCAGTATAACCCAAACTTTCCAGTGGATGATTAGTGAAATATTTGTTGACCTGCAGCATAAATAGAAATAGTGAAATTCTATGAGACTTTATGGTGTTGAGGGAAGAAGGGCTGAATTTTTTTGACTGTTCTGTGCTTTCACTTTTTTTTACTCCTTCCTATATTATACTAATAGAACAACTGTGTGTGAATTAATTTGTTGGAGCTGGTTTTTTTTCTTAAAATAGCATCTTTTTCAGTCTGTACAATTCTATCTATCATCAAATGAATTAGGTCATGAGTCATTGAAAAAATCAGATGTTGTTGTAGAAGAAAATTCAGTGCTAGTAAAGAGCTCTGTAATTTACTAATGAATAGGCTACTGAAGAAAATACTCTGAAAGAATTGCTGCTGTTAGATTTCCAGCCCATATTTTAATTAGGTAAATGAGAACCTTGCAAGTTTTATTAAAACTGAGAAACAATTGGAAAATTATTAAATTTGACAGATAAGCGGGTCAGGAAATTAACTGAACAGAATTAGGTGTGCTGCATCATAGAGAATTTTTTTTACAGGGGTAATGGCAGTTTTTTCAGTATTGGAGGTCTATAATATCTTCTACTAAAGATTTACTGAAAGGAAACCACACAAGTTTGCCTTTAGGATTTTTGAATGGATTTAGTTTTAGAAGGAATCATAGAATCATAAAATGGTTTGGATTTGAGGGAACGTTAAAGATTGTTTAATTCCAACCCCCCTGCCATGGGCAGGGACACCTCCCACTAAACCAGCTACTCCAAGCCCCACCCAGTCTGGCCTTGGGGTCTGTCTTAGTTGTTTAGGAATGAAAAGTGATTCTGAAAACATTATTTCTAGGGATGTATTTCCGAGTAATAGATGTTGTTGTTGCTATTATTCAAATTACAGTAGCTTACCTTGAAGGTTTTTTCCCGAGGTGTTTTGAAGGTGTGTACACAATTCTAATCCTTTCTTTGCATCCATAGCAGGTACAAGTGAACTGGTAATGCTCAGTCTGGATCTTGTGAAAACTCGTCTGGCTGTGATGAGCATGGAAATGAGGAAAAATTTTATACAAGCCATTCTAACATCTCTCATTGAAAAATCTACTGATGCCAAAATTCTTCGTGCAGTGGTAAAAATAGTGGAAGAGTGGGTGAAAAACAATTCCCCAATGGCAGCTAATCAGGTAAATTGAGTAGATAAAATCATTATTGCTCCCAAATACTAAATAACTATGGTCAGTCTTATTCATCAGTTTTGACAATGATGTTTGTAATGATCTGTTAAATATGTTTAGATGCTCTCAATGAGGTTTGGACTACTTTGCATTCCCTGTGAAAATAACTGGAGTTATAGATGCTTGACATTTTGTGGGCTTATTTTCGGTGTTTGATCTCAAGTGCTGTTTGTTGAGAAAGTTTTAAAGTGAAAGTTCTAAAATACGTTTCACGTTAACCTGGATAGAGAGATTCTTCAGGAGGAAGATGACTAATGCTGGTATATATCATGCTACTCTGTAACATTTTGTGGCCTCCTCAATTTGCCATGTTTTCTGTTAGAGCTGAGTACTTGATAATCTAGTGGTGTGTTAGATTTTTGTAATCACTGAACAACTTAACCCTGGTTTAAGTCACAATTTTAAAATTCTCCAGCATATGTTAGAAGGATAAATGCTTGAGTTACTTTTCTTTTTAAGAACTATGACCTAATAAGCAATTTTTCAGTACTTCAAAAGTGCGAGAGTCGTATAAAGGATGGCTGAGTTGTACTTTGAATGTGCTAGTCCTCTGCATGTTTGAAGATGAATTGACAAAATTAATCATGTCTTCTTTTAACACAGACACCTACTCTCCGGGAGAAGTCCATTTTACTGGTGAAAATGATGACTTACATTGAAAAGCGTTTTCCAGAAGACCTTGAATTAAATGCCCAGTTCTTAGACCTTGTTAACTATGTCTATAGGTAATTATAGCAATTAATCATTTATTGCAGCTTATTGGTTCGTAATTTGTACCATATATGACCTTTATAACATGTCATCAATCTTTTTAGGTCTGAATTAAGGAATTTTTTTTAAATGCATGTTTTTTATTTTAAAATGCAAAATCAATTCACTTCAGTGAGACCACAGTGTGTATTTATGGAAGGCAATTTGAAAATAGAAGTTCCTTAGGAAGGATTTTTACTTTTTGGCACTGATAAAATATCTCCACAACCCCAACTGCTTCGTTTCCCAAGATCCCAGGGCATCCTCATAGCTGATTGTATACTCAGCACTGTGGTAACAGCTGAAATCTGTATTTTCACATCCATAGGATATAAAGATTTTTTTTTTCCTGGAAACCTTATTATAAATTAGACTTTCAAGAGAATTACTTTGCTTGGTAGACTGACAAGTTTTGAATCATGATGAAATAATTTAAATAGTCACCTTATCAACAAATGCCAGGTATTTAATGTTGTGCTGCTGGTTCCCATTATTTTGCAGTCCCTGTTTGCTGCTGGACTGTTTGCTGGTTCCCTGTGCAAAGCCTTTGTGTGGACACAGTGCTCAGAAGTTTTTATCAATGAATAACATTTATCATTTCAAACAGAATGCACATGTGGCTCAGTGGTTTACAAGTATGATAAGATTTTGTTCTAGGGCAGCTTTCTAACAAGCAGCAATATTTTCTTTGCTGTTTTTCTTGAAACACCGTGCCTGGACAAGTTCCACACCACAGGGGCTTTTACAGAGTATCACCTCTCTGGATTTTTAGTATTTTATATACAAAACTTAGGAGGCTTCTCTTTCTAATATCTCTGTTATTTCACCTTTATTCACTTCAGGGATGAGAATCTTTCTGGTAGTGAACTTACAGCTAAACTGGAGCCAGCGTTCCTGTCGGGTCTGCGCTGTGCTCAGCCACTCATCCGAGCCAAGTTTTTTGAGGTCTTTGACAATTCCATGAAACGTCGTGTTTATGAGCGTTTACTTTATGTGACCTGTTCCCAAAACTGGGAAGCCATGGGAAATCACTTCTGGATAAAGCAGTGCATCGAGGTAGGGAAGTTATTTGTATCAGAAATGTGGTTAGAAATATGTTTCGTTCCCTGTGCTTGTAGTGTGTATTATCCACATCAAAGCTGAAAATACCAGGTCTGCTGCCTCAGATACTTCCTGTGGTGCTTCAAAATAAATACAATGTCTAAACCATTGAGATGCTGATGCTTGGAAAGGGGCTTGAATATAAATGTTTAAAATATATTTTCTCTGCCAAAAGCTTAATGACCAGGTTAATACTTCTTAAGAAAAGCCCTCTCTCACAATTGATAATGATTATAAAATCTACAAGAATTGTTATAGTAGATGGTTTCCAGAAAACTACAATGTTAAAGCTACAATGTGTGCTTTGGTGGTATGACAGGTGTTAGGTGGGATTGCATTGAAATGAAATTGCATCTTTGCTTATTTAAAATAAGGTGGTACCAAACCTTTTTATTTTAACAATGTATGTATTAAAACATGAGTTTAAGGACTGTGAAAATCCTTTTTAGGGTAGCAGTGAGAGTCTGTATACATTAGTGGATTGAGGGCACTAATTATATGTGTTAAAAAGTACAAAATGCAGGCTTTAGGTGCAGAAGATTCTATTGAATAGAGGTGATAAATAGGCCTTAAACACACTATTGCAACTTTTGTGTTGTTTTTAAAAATTAAACCGTAGTGACGTTTTCTTTGAAATACTACAGTAAAATGTATATCTAAAAACTCCTCTTGTTTTTCTGTGTCTCAGCTCCTGTTGGCAGTGTGTGAGAGGAACACCACAATTGGGACAAGCTGCCAGGGGGCCATGCTGCCCTCCATCACCAATGTCATCAACCTTGCTGACAGCCACGACAGGGCAGCCTTTGCTATGGTGACCCACGTCAAACAAGAGCCTCGTGAAAGGGAAAACAGTGAATCCAAAGAAGAGGTAACTGACAGAAAATAGTGTGGAAAAAATGTCTTTGGTGGAATATCTTCTTAGTTTCTCGTCACGTAAGTTTGGAGAACGTGTCTTGAAGATGATGTGTACAGGTTGCTGGTGTATCTCGTGTTTTAAGCCTGCGTGGGTTTCTCAGAACTTGCATTCAGTCACTGAACCTTTTCTTTACTAGAGCACTCCAGCAATTACATATCTGAACCTGAAGAAGTAGCAGAAATAGTGAGACCTGAAATAAGTTGATAAGGAGGGTATTTTGTATTGGGGAAAAAAAAGTAGAAGTACCTGTAGCAAAAGCTATAGAAGATAACTGTGTTTACTTACTAAGTTATTTACTTCTGTATAGGATGTTGAAATAGACATTGAATTGGCTCCAGGAGATCAGACCAGTACACCAAAAACTAAGGAACTTTCAGAGAAGGACATTGGGAATCAGCTGCACATGTTGACCAACCGACATGACAAATTTCTTGACTCTCTTCGAGAAGTGAAGGTTGGTACAGCTTGTTGGTGACAAATCACTTTAATACCGAAATCTCCTAACTGATCTGAAGCGTATTTTTCTTTTTGCATCTCACACTTCTGATTTTTTAAGCTGAGTTTTCTTGTGTAGACATGTCTTATAATCTGATGTAATTTCTTATCTGCATATGGTAAAAAATTCTTAAGCCTTCACTTCATCAATAGTTGTTACTGTATCCCTTTCCTACAAAATTGAATTTCATCCTCCTTCACCTGTAAGTGTATTTCAACTGTTTGGTTCAGAAAACAGTGATGGCAAAGACAGGATATAGAATCAAAAATGTGTATTGGCATCTTATGATTAAATAATTTCAAAGAAAATAATTATAGCTGAAAGCTATGTTGAAATAACTCTCACAGTAATAACAGCTCTATCCAATTAACCTGATCATTCCTATTACCAAAGTCACCTTCTTTCCTTTTTCCTTCTTTTTTTTAGAATGGTTACAATAATGAATCAGAGTCTTTATCAACATGAAAATAGGATGAATTTATTCTTACAAGTATATATTGCTAAAGGAAACTTATTTTTATTGGAAAAGGCATTTGCATTACTGCTTACTCTATATTAGTACAGTATACCTGACCTGTTTTTCCACAGTATTAATTGTATTTTCCCATTTATGTGAATCTCTTTGTTCCCAGACTGGAGCGTTGCTGAGTGCCTTTGTTCAGTTATGTCACATTTCTACACCTTTGGCAGAGAAGACTTGGATACAGCTTTTTTCACGACTTTGGAAAATCCTGTCTGACAGACAACAACATGTGAGAATCTCTCTCTCCCACTTACAGATTCCTCTTTGTAAATGGCTGCTGTTTCAGGAAAATGTATTTTTGTGATGACTTTGTTCACTTACCTGGAGAAGTTTGCCATTCTTTGACTAGTGAATGCTGTAACCTCTATCAACACATCTTTTGAAAGAAATAGGACCTTTCAATTTTCAAAGAGAAATATACTTGTCAGAGGGTTGTTCCCTGAACTAAAGAGATTTTAAATCTAGATTCTCTAATTGAAGAATCTGAACAATCAGATAACTATTATGTTTTTTCTTCTAGGCTCTAGCAGGTGAAATAAGCCCTTTCTTGTGCAGTGGCAGCCATCAGGTGCAGCGAGACTGCCAGCCCAGTGCCCTGAACTGCTTTGTGGAAGCAATGTCACAGTGTGTTCCTCCCATTCCCATCAGACCTTGTGTCCTGAAATACTTGGGTAAAACTCACAACCTCTGGTTTCGTTCTACACTGATGCTGGAACACCAAGCCTTTGAAAAAGGACTGAGTCTACAGATTAAGCCTAAACAGACAACAGAATTTTATGAGCAGGAAAGCATAACTCCTCCTCAACAGGTAGTGTTATATTAATTGAAATACCTTATGAAACATGAAGAGGAAAATGTAACACTGACAAGTCCTCCACTAACCCATGTCCCCAAATGCCACATCTACATGTTTTTTACACAACTCCAGGGGTGGTGACTCTACCATTGCCCTGGGCAGCCTGTTCTGGTGCTTGACAACCCTTTTGGTGAAGACATTTTTCCTGATATCGAACCTAAACCTCCCCTGGTGTAACATGAGGCTGTTTCCTCTTATCCTATTGCTTGTTACTTGGAAAGAGAGGTTGACCCCCACGTTGGTACAATCTCCTTTCAGGTAGTTTTAGAGAATGATAAGGACCCTCCTGAGCCTCCTTTTCTCCAGGCTGAACCCCCAACTCCCTCAGCTGCTCCTCATCAGACTTGTGCTCCAGACCCTTTCCCAGCTCTGTTGCCCTTCTCTGGACATGCTGTAGCACTTCAAAATTGTGCTAGTAGTGTGAGGCCCAAAATCATGTAGTGTGAGGCCCAAAACTGAATCCAGGATTGGAGATGTGGCCTCACCAGTGCTAAGCACAAAGGAACAATTGCTTCTAAATCTTTGTATTTAGAAGCCTGTTAAAGTGGTGGTGTTTTTTTTTCTTCAGTGAAAGAATTCCTGTCCTTGTGTGTTTGTGAATAGACGCTTGCAACATTTAATACTTTGTGTCTTACCTACTTCTCATGTTTTTCTTTCATCTGTCATTGATATTTTCACATTTTTTTCTCTTCATCCCTCTTATCCATCTGCTTTTGACACTGATTCCCTGCAGCACTGTAGAACTAGATATAACCATTTCTGCCCCCAATTTTAAATCTGAAGTAGAAGTCAATACTGCCCATCTCCCTCAAAGGAAATGTTCTTTCCCTCATCAAATCTGTTGGCGTATGACTTTAAAGAATTATTAGCTAAACAAAATAGAGTTCCTTGCTGAGAAGCTGTTGTGTTTAATAGTCTGGCAGGTATGATCTCCCTACGCAGATCAGCTGAGGAAGCTAAATATTACAGATTTATGGTTTTTTACATTAAAGACCAAGTTGCTGGCTCATTGAACAGTTCTGTTTTCTATGATTTCATCTGTTGTGTTAAGAATCAGTGTGCAAGCCTTAGGATTTTTTGGTTATGCAGTGTTCTCAGTACATGGTTGTTAATAAGTGCTTGCCTTCTGGAGTTTTAAAGAGTCTTTATTATAGAGACATCTCTATATCATGTCTTTCTCAGCTTGCCTCAGTGTAGAATGTGAAGGTTTGCTATCTGCTGTGCTTTGTAAGGACAACTTGACTGTGGTGAAACACATATTCTTAACATTCTAGGAAATACTGGACTCCCTTGCTGAGCTCTACTCCTTGTTACAAGAAGAGGATATGTGGGCTGGACTGTGGCAGAAACGCTGTAAATTCCCAGAGACAGCAACAGCCATTGCCTATGAACAGCATGGCTTTTTTGAACAGGTACACTCTTGATATTAGAAATTATCAGAATGAGTATTCTGGTCAGGAAGAAAAAACTCTGAATATTAGTTATTAACTTTAGTCTTCCAAAATGAAAGGTACCACAGCTTCTCTACTGTCTACGGTAGTAGTTTAAGGCCATGTAATACCTACGTAAGGTGAGATTTTTGAGCACATCCACCAGTTTTTCATGCAATTTGTAAGGGTTTTCTTATCACTTGTTTTTAAAAAGAAAAGAGTGAGTTATTGTGTATACAGCAGATGGAAAAGTAGAGTGGTTGAATTTTCTTTAGGCACAAGAAACTTATGAAAAAGCCATGGAAAAGGCTAAAAAGGAGCACGAACGGAACAACGCTTCCCCTTCCATCTTTCCTGAATATCAGCTCTGGGAAGACCACTGGATTCGGTAAGACTGAATGTAGAACAAGTATTTTACCCTGCAATAGAAGGAAAATACCCTGCTGCTGATTTAAAAAATAAACTTATCTCAGGACTTAGCTCAGGGAAAACTTAAGGGAATTAAATAAGCTGGTTTTTATTCCCTTAACAGAGCCTCAGAAGTGATATGCCTGAATTGCTATAAAAATGTAATTTGTTATTGGTGGAAAAAGACTGGAGTTAAAATTTGTTTTTCCTATTTAAAATGGTTGTTCTGGGACACACAAAATGCAGCTTTTCCCTGTTCACAGATTTCTATATTATAACTGGTAATAAATAAATTAAAAAAAAAAAATCTTCCCATCTGGATAAAACTTTTGCAGTGCTTGCAAAGCTGTTTGTAGACAAACAAATATGCAGATAACATTCTGATATGCAACATTTGTAGTCAGTTTTATTGAAATTTTTGTGGTTTTTTGTAACCAAATTTGACACTGCTTTTGATTTTTAGTTGCTCAAAAGAACTGAACCAGTGGGAGCCTTTGACAGAATATGGCCAGTCAAAAGGTCATATAAATCCTTACCTCGTGTTGAAGTGTGCATGGAGGGTCTCAAACTGGATTGCTATGAAGGAGGCTCTGGTGCAGGTGAGTGGGGGCTTTTTATGCTCATGTTTAGTTTCTCCTCATCCTCTCTTAAGTATCTTCCCAACTCTTTTAAGAGCCATTCCATGTGAATAAAGTGGTGGTTGTTGTTCTTGAAGCTGCTATAAAAAGCCAGGCCATACAGCCATCTTGGGCTTCCTGTGGTAAACGACAGATTTCTGTGTTGGAGGCACCACTGGATTGTCTGGGATTCTTTTTAACATTGTATGTGGTGTTGCTATTCTGTAAAAGATGGATAACTTGGGTTTTTTTTTTTTGGTTTGTTTTTTCTTGGCTTTGTTTTTTTTTATTTAATTTTAAGGAAATACATCCTCTTTTCATGGTCGGTAGAGTTGTTCATTTGTGCTTCGTTAATACAGAAACATAAACCAGATGTAAAACTGAAATCTGAAAGGTGAGAATACTGCATTAAATCACAAGTGGAAAGGAGCTTGCTGTGACATTACTGGAGTTACTCTGCTAAAGATGCCAGAATTTGCAATAAGGGGGTGAATTGCATATTTAAAATACAATTTTACTGGCAGAGCTCTGAGCAAAGCCTTAGGCTGTGTTTTCTTATATTGCAGGGAGTGAACCAGAACAATTAGTCCTTCAGTTAATTAGAGTTTATTATTTCATCAGTACTGTTTAAGTTTTGAACCAATACCTACCAGTTAATAGTGTTACACATCAAATTGACAGTTGGCTGTATAGTGTAATAACATTTGCAAAAGATACAACATGATTATGAAAAATGCTGAGCATCCTTTAATTCCAGTATCTTGCAGAGTTAAGTTTCTATATATAAAATATTCCAGCCAGTTGTTTCATTGTGACAGCTTACTCTCGCATGAGAAATATGAGAGTTGTGTGTCTCTCTTACTTCCTTCAAAATCAGGCTGAATTATGCATTTTTTAAAAAATGTAGTTATATTTATTCTGCTGTAACTCTTTTGTCAGAGGGGAAAATAAGTGGACGCAATCAGTATATTTTGCTTTAAAGGCTAAACTGTGAAAACCATAAAAGTTATTATATTGATTAAAGGTAGTGTTGTCTTTTGATGGAACCTAAATTAAGGGGGTTCCAACCATTGCTACATTTGAAATGGTATTTTTCTATGTTTGTAGTACTGATGGTTCAAATTAAATAATTGTCTCTAAATATGGATTTTATCATTTATCAGCCCATGTGAAGCCAAATCTGTAAGTACCAAGCTGCATATGCAACAAAAATTTTCTTTACAGGTACTATTTTCATTTTGATTAACTTCTTTTGTTCTTATAACATTTGGTATTTTGTGTGTTATTTAAGTGTGCAACTTCAGAGGCTGATTATAAAAATAAGTTTATTTGAGAAACTTTTAAAGGCTAAAATAAGAATTGTATTGTACAGTGTGTTATAAACCTTGAGCTTGAACAGAATAAAATAGATCATGTCTGACAGGTTCTGGGTTTGGAGAATTGCAAGTTGAGTGGAAGTGCCAACCTCGAGTAAGTGCTGATATGCTCTAGCTGCAGTTATATTAAATGAGGTATTTTCAGTAATGAGACATTTACTAAATGACTAAGGAGAAGATGCTGCTGAAGCCATAAATGGAGCTTTTGTGGCTCTACTCAGGTTCTTGTAAAAGTGTCAGGACACGTTTGCATAAATATTAGGATCTGGAAGAATAATTGATTCTATGCTGCTGTACTCACTACTCCAATTCTGTTGATATTCTTTAACATGGCTGTTTTTTATCAAGTTCCATGGTTGATTCACAAGAAAGGCCAGAAAGGATGGCAAATATCTATCAGTTTTCATAAATCTTTCTGAAAGATTTTTAATAATCTTACCCATTAATGTCGAGCTATTAAAACAGCAAGTAGCCTTTGATAGGACCCAAGACTCATTTCCATTTGCTCACATTGCCATTGTGTTTAATGATGCAGTAGATAATGTAATAAAGAAAGAGATTGTTTTCACTGTGTAAGTGTAAGGTTGCTACCTGGCAGTTTCTCTTTGCTGGCTCATGTGTAGAAGTCAGCTGAGGATTACAGAAATAACAATTGTAGTGGTTACCATACAGTATATCAACCACCGAGTAATGCAGAGGGATTTCTGGGTTGCACATCAAACCATAAAGGGCGTGATGTAAAGCAGGAGAAAAAGGAGTGAAAAAGTTGTAGATTAAAGACCTGCAGTGTCAGCTGGTGAGCACTGGCTCAGTGCAAGTTTATTGTGAAATGCTCACAGAATTTAGGTGCTGGACAATTTGGGTGCCTTGCTGAGTTTAGTTGCCGTATTTCTACTGTTCCAGGATTTAAGAAAGTGGTTTAAAATTATTTTTAAAATTATTTTAGGACTGTGACTTGACTTTGCACCTGTGCTCAGAAATTAACATAAATGGGAAGGTTAGTTGTGGATTACTTGAAAAAATATTAGCTGTTTATTTTCATAAACTAAACAATGCCCTAGAGCAGACAGTAGGGAGTATAATGCTGCACAATGTGCTGACAGGAAGGGACAGGATCTTTTTAAGTGAGAAGCTGATGTTACTTGTTCTGGAGCCCCTGAAGCATTGCAGAGGTAGTGTATGTTGTGTGTTATCTGCTGAGAAGCATCTTTTTCACTTTGTACAAGGTGAATTGGTTTGCTGTGAGCTTCCTGCTCCTGTGGCAGGGCTGCTCTCACTGCTCAGCTGCCTTGAGCTGCATTACAGTTGTCAGTGTAAAAACACCCCAACAGCAGGTTGGACCCAGGCACTTCTACTCTTGGGCCGAACTGGCAATTATTTGCTAGCCTGCCCTTGCCAGTAACATTAGGAGAGGTGAAACTCCTCTAGTGACATTAAATATTGATGCTTTAAGCTGATATTTTTAGAAAACGAAATAATATTGATAAACAGCAAAGCTGTTCATTTAAGAAGGCTTTTAAGAAAATAATTTAACTGTTTTGAGTACGAATGATCTTTACCAGATACCATTTTATTACCAGGTGGAGTTGAGCTGCCCAAAAGAGATGGCCTGGAAAGTGAACATGTACAGAGGGTACCTGGCAATCTGCCACCCCGAGGAGCAGCAGCTGAACTTCATCGAGCGCCTGGTGGAGATGGCGAGCAGTTTGGCCATCCGGGAATGGCGGAGGCTCCCTCACGTGGTCTCACACGTTCACACTCCCCTTCTCCAGGTAAGGATGAAAAGTCCAGTTGTTTTCCAGCAGCAGGTTTCAGAACTTTTATTAACTGTGAGTGTAAAATATTTTAGTCAATAGTTTTTTCAGAATGGTATTTTTTTGATTAAAAGGTGTGGAATGCGCGTTTTGATTTTTGTTTTCGATGTGCTTGTTTCTAAGAGTTCGTGAGAAATTGGGACCATTTTTTTTTAAGACCTCCAGAAATACTTTTGGGAAGCTGCTGGCACGATTGTGGTTATATGGAATATGCAGTTTAATTATTATGTGAAATGAAATAACATGTATTGCATGGTGAAAAACGTATGGGATGTGTCCTTTGCAACTTTCATACATATGTTACCATAACAAAAATGGACTTCTGTTTTTCCTTTTGAAATGTATAAAATATCAACATGCTGTTGTTTTGTCTTGTATTTAATTATGTAAATAATTCAATTTGCAACTGTAAGAGAAGAATTTTTTAGAGTAGATGTTATTGCCAAATTGAACTTAATGAAAGTAGGTGCCTAAATCCATCTTTAAAAAATTGGATTTGGCCTTGAGTTGCTTTCAGCAGCTTCTTGAAAATTAACCTCATGTCCTCTGACTTGTGTGGTACAGCTGGAGCCAGTGTGGAAGTGGGGCTGGGGCAGGATTGTACTTGGCTGTGTGAGATCTGGGCAAAACATGCTGTTCATTTCTCATTTCAGCTGACTTTGTCCCTGTTTAGGTGTCCTATAAACATATACCTAATGAAGATTAGATCTTGTTCCTGTGGAGGAAACCTTTCATCCCCAGGGGAGGAATTGTAGAATATCTCAGTGCAACATGATCTGAAATTTCATAACAGGGATGCATTTCTTGAAGGATCATTGCTCAGAACTATGAATGAACCTGTAGAAGTGCAGAGGACCTTGATTTCTGAGTTCTCTTTGATATAGTGGCTTCTATAATTCTGTTTAAAATGAATAGTTTCATCCTGTGTGTCATGCTAGGTGTGATTCATAAGTAACTAATCTACACTATCTAAGAAGGTACCTCTACTAAAATTACCTCTACTAAAACTACCTCCCACAGCAGCTCATGCCTTGGAATTTTTATGCTATAAATGGATGCATCAGATAAAGTGAATGAATATGGAAGTTTTCTCCATATTCAGAGAAAGTTTTCAAGTAAATAGGTACAGTTTGTGAGCTCAGAAGGAGGCTTCTTGATGAATTTAATTCCTTCCTACTAAGTTTTCACACGTACTTCAAGTATTTTTCCCCCACCAAGAATGGCAGCAGGAAAGAATTAGTATTGCTAAATAAAGTGCTTTCAGATATCAATTAAAACAAGCTTTTAAAACAATCTAATATGTATATATCCCTCATGAAGAAATGATAAATTAGTCAGTGACTGACAGAGGTACAAATGCAGGCATGAATTTGCACTGCAGTAATTACTTTTTTTTTAATATCAGATAGTATGTGATTAAATACCCATGAGAAAATTAAATTTATGTGATGAATGGGTGTAGGATGAAGGTTAAGCCATTGTGAGAGCTGATACTGAGATGACTGTAGAAAAATATTACTTTAATTTATTTTGTTTCAAGAGATTTCACTCTGTAAATTCGGACTGCCTTTTTTTTTCTCAAATAGTTATCTCATTTAGTTGATTAACAATGAATACAAGTGTTATCTGCCAAGTGGTAGCTTAGAGAATACTACATTGGCTTTATTGTACTACAGGTAATTAAATTCCATTGAAGTTTGTGGGCCTTTTCTTCAGGTGGTTGAAGTTTTAACAAACTGTCTGCTGCCTTTAGTAGGTTCGAGACTACTGCCATCTTCTGTTTGTTCCTCTCCTTAATTTGGGGATAGGAGAGGTCAGTGAAAACCTGTTCTAAACTTCAGTAACTTCCCAAAGCTCAGGTCTTTGCAGAATCTAAGTGACACATCAGGGGCATGTAGATACAGTTTCTCTGGACATTCAAGCTTCTATCTAGAAGTCAGATCATGACCAGAGAATTTATACTTAATTTATATTTATATTGTTTAATGTTTTCTAGGCAGCACAGCAAATAATTGAACTTCAAGAAGCAGCCCAAATAAATGCAGGATTGCAACCAACTAATCTGGGGAGGAACAACAGCTTACATGATATGAAGACTGTTGTAAAGACTTGGAGAAACAGGTTACCTATTGTGTCAGATGATTTATCCCACTGGAGCAGCATTTTCATGTGGAGACAACATCATTACCAGGGTAAATCTGCCTGGTCCAGTGTGCATTCACCATAGAATATTCCAGACGTTGTCTGAAATAAGTTCTTGGTTGTTTTATTTTTAAATTTCAATGTACAGGATTGTTGATTTTGACAAGTTTTTGATTTTACTCAATTTTCATTTAAGTGTTTCATTACCTTAAGTCATCCATTCCATATGTGTTGCTGTGTAAGGTGCCGCTGTACGTATAATTTTATTTATAACGACAAACATTTCATGGTGTGTTTCCAGCCATTGTGACTGCATATGAAAACAGTTCTCAGCATGATCCCAGTTCCAACAATGCCATGTTGGGAGTTCATGCCTCTGCATCAGCAATTATCCAATATGGAAAGATAGCTCGGAAACAAGGGCTGGTCAACGTGGCGCTGGACATCCTGAGCCGCATCCACACCATCCCAACCGTGCCCATCGTGGATTGCTTCCAGAAGATTCGGCAGCAAGTGAAGTGTTATCTGCAGCTGGCTGGAGTCATGGGCAAAAATGAATGTATGCAGGTACAGCAGCTTTATCACTGTAGGTGTCGTTGGAACTCGTAGGATTACAGAGGCCATCGGATATATTGATTTAAACAGGCTCCCTGTGTCCAGGACAGGGTCTGAATTTCCTTGGCCACGTTACACCCTGCAGGGAGTGGTGTTTTAAGTAATGCTGTTATAGTCCAAAGCATTTAATGTCCTCTTTGAACTGAAAACTGTGAATATATTAAAAATCAACTGAACGAAAAGTGAAATGGAAGGATATTTTTTGAAATCTTACAAGATTGATAAATGGAAGTGACTTGAAAAAATAAATTATTTATATAGGAAGGAGCCCCACTACTGCAAGACTAACTGAAGCTCCAAATCAATGCTAAGTGCCTGATTCATGAGTGGTGGATGCTGTCAAACTGAAGTGAAATTGTATGTGTTGAAAGGGGAAAAATGTGATTTTAGGTAAAACCCACTGGCACGTGATCAGCAAACGGACCTTGTAATAAATATAACATAAATAATATTATAACTTAAAGTGAAAAAGATAACCTGATGAGTGTTATCTGTGTGTATTTGTTTTGCTTAGGCCAGTGTAACTTAAAATTGTTTTCAGTCTATTTTTTTTAACAAATGAAAATTAAATGCTAGAAACTCAGGCTATTTAAATTTCAAGAGAATATTTCGGCACTTTCATCTTAATAAACTCTCCCATTTTAAAAGGCTTTTCTCACTAAGACTTATTTAACAGGGTCTTGAAGTTATTGAATCAACCAATCTGAAGTACTTCACCAAGGAGATGACTGCTGAGTTTTATGCACTGAAGGGAATGTTCTTGGCACAGATTAACAAGTGAGTATCTGGCTGGAAGAGGCACCAGCACACAGCTGAGAAAAATGCAGCTGAAATATTTCAACACAGTGAGCAGAAAAGCTGGTCCATATGTTTCTACCAGCCCAAAATTTGTCACAACTGTATAAGAAAGTAAAAATATCCGTGAGAGTTCCTTTGCAGTTTGAAGATGTAACGGTTGGTCACATTTCAAAGTATTGTAGGAAATATCTAATTAAAGCAAACATTGTGCCAGTTGAATTTTTTCCAAGTTTTGTATTTCATGGGATGAGATGGAAGAGGCAGGGAGAATAAGTTTGTCCAATTGATACTTTTTTTTTTCTCTTGTTCTGTGAGTGCTCAGAAAAACTGATGTCTAATTGATGTCTTTGTGTAGTTGGGAAATGGAGGTTGCTTTGTTTCTCTCATTTCTGTTTCATTGTCTGTGTCCCTTTAATAGCTGCAGCTGGTCAAGACATAGGGAAATATGTGGTGGTGTAGTTCACAGTGCTCAGGTAAATCTGGTGTGTGGAATGTGGAAATGGAACATTCATTTCAGATAATTGAATTGAAAGACTCCTATAGTGTGTGTTGGAGACATCTTGCACTGCAGCAATTAAACACCTAAGTTCAAGGCTTGTTTTCACACAACGACTTTTGTGATGGTTTTGCTTTGTACTGACAGGCATTTTACTGTTTTGAGAAAGATCTCTCTTTAATTCAGTAAACAAATATCTCAGCAGTCAAATTTTGTTTGGCGATGCCAAAAAACCCCCTTCCAATTTCAACAGCTTTTAATACGCCTGGGATTTAATGGCAGCATTGCTACGTGTTACATATGGAAGGAATAATTCCTTTACCACTACACTGTGGCCACTTTAGGAATGAAATCCATCAGGTTTTAAGCTGTGCATTGCAACCTCACATAGCAATTTAAGTCAGGAAATGATGAATATCTTCTGTGGATACAAGAGAGAATTTTAAATAGGCAGAATGCAATTACTTTGATGGAGAGTGCAGTGGGCTTTTATATGGTCACAGGCTTAATTTTAGTAGAGGTATAAAGAGAAGGAAGTGTACCTCCCCCATACTTTTTAATTTTTTTAAATTCTCACAGATAAAAGCAGCTAAATTGTCTCTATTCCTTCCTTCAGGATAAAATGGATAAAGGTTTCTGTTTAAAACATGGTTCTGATGTTTCTTAACCTTACCAAAAAATATGCAGAGGCATGACCATGAGGTGAGGAATTTAGGAAGGTTTCAGCTGGGACCAAGGGCAGTGTTGAACCTGAAAATGTGACTGTGATTACTTGTGTGTCAACTAAACTGAAGTGAAAGGTCACCTCTGCTCTTGCATCACCCTGTGCAGCCCAGTGGCTGGGCAAGGTGATAGAAACCATTTTAAGAAAGTCATCTGAGGTGTCAAGGATGATGGATTGTAGAGAAGGAGAAAAGAAAACAGAGAAGTTCCCTTTCTATAGAGGGGAAGCAGTGATACAAAGTCATCCATCAGCTGCTGCTGGGGTGGTTCACTTCAAAACCTCCATCTGGGGTGCAGGAAGCCTCTGAAAGCAAGGAACATTAATGTAGCCTAGAAACTAACACATGACAGACAAAGCTGTTTTCCTTTTCATAGTTTTGCCTCAATAGCTGGTCATTTTAATTAAGTACTATCCTCCAAGCTAATATTTTTGTCATAAAAGTACAGGCAATTTTAAAAAATGAGTAGAACAAACATTGCATTACTTTTGTATGGTTTATTTCAATGCTTATTCTATGAGGGAGAAATGAAGCTTTCTGTTAATAAGGAGGCTTGAAATGTTTTAAAAATGTCTTCCTTTCAGTAATGCTTATGGGAGTTTTTTCATCCTTTTTTTTGTGCCTAAAAAGTAACATAGATTCAAGGGCTATATATATTGGGATGAATCATGCCACATCTTGGACAAGGAACACTTGAGGAAACATAGAGAAAACTTCAGAAGTATCAAACAAATAACCTTTTGGTTACCCAGAACTGTGTGATTAACCTTCAAATTCCTTCACTTTTCCCACTGAAAAAATAAACACTTACAGCTGTGGGGATGAGGACCTGACTGTTTTCAGAAAATGATTGTAAAATTTTTCACGACTTTACTCAGAGAGGAGTAAAATAAGATGCAGTTCTCTAAAAGATAACTACTATAACATCTTCCTAATGTTGCTTTACTCATGTTTTTTGTTCAGCAGAGCAGCATTCTTAAATGCATTTGCTTCTGCTCCTCTTGTGTTATTATTTGCTCTTCTTATTCCCAGTGTCACTGCTTGGGTTCCCATTGCAGTGCACTGGAAGCTTTTTTTTGTTTGTTTTTTCTTTTAAGGGAGTATCTGTAGATCTTAAACACTTACATAATTGTTTCCATTATAAAGCATTTACTTTTGTAGGTGCAAGGAATGCAATGACAAAACAGTCATAAGAGACCTTACTAGAGAACTTACACTGAGTATTAAGAAAGTAATTGCCTGCCCTCTCAGAAATCTGATTTCTATAATTTAGTAACTATTTCTTAGTATAAAACTCATATTCTTCCTCATCACTGTGCAGGTCTGAAGAAGCAAACAAAGCTTTTTCTGCAGCTGTGCAAATGCACGACGTGCTGGTGAAAGCCTGGGCCATGTGGGGGGATTACCTGGAGAACATCTTTGTGAAGGAAAGGCAGCTCCACCTGGGGGTTTCTGCCATCACTTGCTACCTGCACGCCTGCCGTCACCAGAACGAGAGCAAGTCAAGGAAATACTTAGCAAAGGTAAGATCTAGAGGTTTAAAAAAGAATTGGAGCCTTCAGGAAGGGCTGGGATAATGTTCGGTGCCCAAATTTGTGCAATTGGAGAAACAGTTACTGAGGGAAGGCTTTAATTTAGGTGGGAAGTCTTCATGGGGCTGCTCGTGGTTGCATGTAACTTATCTGGGGTTTTTTTTGCTTCATTGAGAAGTCTGGAGTTTCCTGTAGTTGTGGAACGTTTTTGTAGGAGGAAGAGGACAAATCACATCCAGCCTTTCTGCTACATAATGCAGTGAAATACCTGCAGAAAGGCATCCTTTGATCCTGTAAAAAGTAACATAATTTGAGCTCTTTTAATCATTACTATGGATGAATACTATTAACTTTTACCTCAGTATTGCATTTTGTTCCAGATTAGCCTTCTCTATGCATTTTTACTCTGAAATGCAACAAAATTTTGGCCAAAAAAAGCTATTTGTAGTATATATTGCTCAGTTTGGGTATATTTAATCTCTCTCATGAAGAAAATTAAAAAAATCATAGCAGGCCACGGAAGACAATCTGTTCTGAACATGAAAAAACACAGAAAATATTCTTTGAGATTAAAGGTGACCTCAATAGCACCCTGAAGTTTATTATCTCCCTGTTTGGCTGCATAACAATTAATGATTTTTAGTCAGTGCTTAATATATTTACATTTAAATTAAACTAGAAAAAGTATCATTAAGGGTGAACTGTTAAAATAATTAACAACACCCAAAGAAATAATCAAGTTCTTGCATCGAGGTTCATTTATCTGAATTGCATATTTTAGGTTCTAGAAACATGCCCTTATTTTCTATCTGCACCTCCAAACAAAACCCAAAGAATTCCAGGAATGCAGTCATGTTCATTTGCTTCTTTTTGTCTTGTTTCATAGCAAGGAATGCACTTATATTTATTTTTACATCCTTTAAATATTATTTCTAAGGGAAAAAAATAACATTGGCAAGGCATGATGAATGTAAGTTCCTGTGTCTGAGGCAACTTTAACACTTACAAAGACTCCACAGTCATATCAATAAAATAGCTCTGTGTTTTTCTGCATCGTAATGATTGATGTGTCTTAAATTTAAGCACTGAAATTCTCTTGTAGGTTCTTTGGCTGCTGAGTTTTGATGATGACAAGAACACCTTGGCAGATGCAGTGGACAAATATTGTATTGGTGTCCCACCCATCCAGTGGTTGGCCTGGATCCCACAGCTGTTGACGTGCCTGGTTGGCTCAGAGGGCAAACTCCTCCTGAACCTCATCAGTCAGGTACAGAAGATAATCTCTAATTCTCTAGTGGCTGTAATCTTTGTTTTTAAGATGAGATACAAATAATTTTTAAAGCAAATTAGGAAAATGCCAAGGTTTAAAAATGCTATAGTTTGCAACTGTTGATGAGTTAAAAATGGTGATTTCTCTCTTTAAGTAGAATATTTTAAATTTCAAAGTGAGTTTTACTTACTGAGATTAAATCCAGTGAAATTGTATGCCCTATGTGCATGAGGCATTATAGCTTTCCTCTGGAATTCTGTTTATTACATTTTTGTGAACATTATAGAACATACTTACAAATACATTTTTAAAAATGCCTGTAAGGTAGGAGTAGGGATAAAGAATTGTTAGCTGTAGTGATTAAAGGGCAAACTATTTCATTAGTGCTTTGGGTTTTATTAGATTTGATTCTAAGAAACAAGGCTCTGTCTGTCACCATCAGAAATCTTTACTGAGCCTTTGTTAGTTTTCGCTTGAAGTTTAGCACGGCAAATGAGGAGTCAAATAAGGATAAGGTTTAGGGAGTTGGATGAAGAAACTGCCTTCCTGGATTTGTTCCTCTGAACTGACAGATATGAGTTTTGATTAACCTTGCTTTGGGATTTAAAGATTTTGTGCCTGTTGCTGTCTGCTCTGGAGCAGAACTCAAGAATAGAACTTTACCTCGGTATGAGGTTGGTTTAGGCATGTCTGTAGACTGGGGAGAATTGGATGTCTGTTAATGTGGGGGTTTTTGTTAATGTGTTTTTAGATACTGTTTTGTTACTGCTTAGGGGGGAGAGGGTTCAAGGGTGATATTTTCAGAGCTATTAACTGCTCCTGTGCCAACTCCAGCTCTGTTTGAAGAGGGGCAAACCTGGAAGTGTTGGGGTGTTTGTTCATTCAGGTTGATGTGAAACAGCTGTGGAACCCCAATAACACACAGGTGGACATGTGGAGCTCTCACAATCCCTGTACCCCAGGCCTCTTCACCCTGCATTGCTCCACTGATTCCTGAAAACTGGCACAGGACAACTGTTACACTGAATTCCCCACAGTGCACTTCCTTATTTCCCTCCCCTCTTGATTTTTGAGATATGGACTTCATGACCATATGGGTCCCTTCCAATTCAGGATATTCTATGATCCTGCGATATCCAGCCCCTTTTATAACATCCCTTATCTTTGCTCTTTCAGATCTCTGAGAATGTGTGTTTTTGTAGTGAGGGAATATTATGTCCATTTGTATTTACCTGTGCATTGATATTTGGGTACACAAATCTAGATTAATATGTGTGTGCATGTGTACACATGTGTTTCCTTCCCTCTCCATAAAATTAAAATATAACTCTGAGGAGACCATGCTCCCAAGCAGCTTAAGAGAACAAAGTAACTAAGGCAAACTTTGGTGGGTATGGTTTGAGTATGGTCTTGCAACCCCAGTGTGCTCAGCTGTCTTCTGACAGAAAAAACAAATTTCAACAAGTTGTAGTCACTTTTTTATTTGTTGAGATCTGTATAAAATATTTAGATGTGACTGCTTGCTTGCAAGTTGTACTGTAGTTGGAGCTTAGACTCATAAAAGTCACAGATACTCCTGTTTATCTTCCCTTTAGACTTCAGGTCCATTGAAGGGATGTAAAATTAAAACATAGCAAATTTTCTGTGTTACTATTTTAAAACTCTTCAAATAACTTTTTGAACTACAGCATGAAGCATTTGTGTGTCAGGCTAGTGATCTGCCATAAATATCATATTACTGAACATTTTGCAAAATTTCTGCCTCTTACCTTATCCATTTGGATGGAGAAGGGATCCATGATTTAATAGAATTGTGGCTGGAGAAGCCTCAAACAATGTCTTGAGAAGTGCTCTATCACGGGTAGTAGACATACGGTTCTTTCCTTTAATAGATACTGAGATTTACAGATTTTAAAGGGGATGCTGGATGTCAACATCTCTTTAGCTTTTTTTTTTTTTAATGGAAGCCATAAAATCCTTTTTATTTTTGGGTGCCATTGGTATCCCCTTACATTAAGTGCCACAATTAGATGGAGTAAGGTTACTCTCTAATGGGCTTTCTTACCAAGTATCATGGGGCTTGCTGGGAACTGTGGCCTAATTTAAAGACTAACCACTGTCATTATGTCTGTTTTTCTTCCATTATGCACATGAGTAAGATCTTTGAGCTGGCCCAGCTGGTGCTCTGACATTATGCTGTTTTCAGGTTTATTAGGCAGTATGATCTGGAAGCCCTAATTAGGTAATGCCTGAACAGTGTGTGTAGGGAGTTACCATTTCATTCTCTTCGTGTTTCTGTTACTGAAAATATCTTTAATTTCCATAAACTGTTATTTAATGCAAAGAGCTGATTATTACCAAATTGTACTTATTTACCACACAATCTGTACACGTTGATGTGATCTGTAGTCAATATTCCTTGACTGAGTATATGTGTGTCTCCAAATAGGTGGGAAGAGTCTATCCCCAAGCTGTTTACTTTCCTATCAGGACCCTCTATTTGACCTTGAAGATAGAACAGCGAGAGCGCTACAAAAGTGGTGAGCTTGATCTTGATAAAATTATTTGTGCTCTTTGTAACTTAGTTTGAGTTTCACCTGATTTTACCGAGAAAACAGATTCTCTAGAAAATGTACTAACTCAGCAAGGCTGAGGAAGAAAATTCTTGATAAACTTTGCTTGCATTGATTTGTTTCTGTGAAGTTAAATCTGCAGATGGCTTGAGCTGTCTTGAACTTTCTTGTAAAAAATATTCATCAGGAAGAGTTTCATCTCCTTCATTTTCCTGTTACCTTAATTGAGAATCAAATGTTCTCTCATGGATATTTATCTTTATAAATTTGTGAAGAAGTAGAAAATTCTTGGTTTATGAATACAGGAGAGCATCACAGTCTTCTGAGACGTTCTAGTCTAATTTTCATTGGAAGCATGAACCTTGCAACATTCAGTTTGTTTTCAAAGGAGCCACACTTGTAAAATGAATGTCTCCATATTAACTTCTTATGGTGAATTATCAAGTAAAATGAGCATCTAAGTTTACACAAAATAAAATCAATGTTGACTTTGAGAAATGTTTGGGAAGTGGGAGAACATTCAGCAACTTGCACACCACCTTTTTTCCCCAAGAACAAATCAAGTTTAGAATAGTTATGTCAAATGATTCCACAGAATTTAGTTGTTCTTTTGTCTCCTAATTTCCTGGGAATCCCAGGAGAGCTGCTTGAAGAACTCTTCCTTCAGTTATGTGTTCTTTATTACAAAGTGCATTGTTTATTTAATTGCCTTTTTCACTTGAGAATTAGTTCACTAAATTTCTGCATGAGATTTTGCAGGACACTAATTAAATAATGTTTTATTTTTCTTTGACTGCTCCTTTGCAGAAGGAGGAGGTGCCCACATACCCTAATAATTCATTCACATCCAGCAACAGAAGTTTCTGTGCAAAATTCTTGGTATTGCCCCATGCACATATATAATAACCAGTAAAATATTTTCCTGTAGGCTCTGCCACAAACTAATGCTTTGTCTGTGGGTTGTGTGAGTTAGTGGGGGTCATCTGATAAAGCAGAGCTCTGTCCTAAATCACTGTCTGCTGAAGTTGTCATGCAAGAATGTTCTGTACTAAAAGATACACACTATGACAATTTGTCTGTTGTTGGCATCAGCATATTTATTCTTCAGTTACGTGTGAAAGATCTCCCCAAAAGGGAGGGGAAGGAAACACCCATAATTCAAATAATTTGATCCTATATGAAATGTCTGTTACTTCAAGAGCATAGATTGGTAATTTAAAAGCCAAGGCTACACACCTCCTGTGGGGCTTTGAGGAGTGTTTATTTTGCTTTAATATTGGAAGGTCTGTACCATTAAACAGCATTTTTACAGAGTTTTCTGAAATTCAGATTAATTAACGTGATTACTACCTAATGTAAATCTAAAGCCAATTCTTGGAACAATTTATTTTATTTCGTATGGGCGCTTATCAAGTTCATGAAAGGTAATTCTTATTTTCTTTTTAATTTTCACTTCCCAGATTCTGGGCAACAGCAGCCAAGTTCAGTTGGGAATCAGTCCCACTCTGCCTCAGACCCTGGGCCAATCCGAGCCACTGCACCAATGTGGAGATGCAGCAGAATTATGCACATGCAGCGGGAATTGCATCCAACACTTTTGTCTTCTCTGGAAGGCATTGTGGATCAGATGGTCTGGTTCAGAGAGAATTGGCATGAAGAGGTATTTGGCTTTAATACACCTTCATATCTGTGTATCGTCTGAGGAAAAGTTAACTGCAAAATATTTATCCATAGTTAATTTTAAGCATTAAAACATAACTATTTGTTTGGATTAGTAAACTGATGTATCTGTAGAAATGACTGTTCTGATTGGAGTTGGTTATTTCTGGAAGCAGTACAGAGATTTTCCAAAGCTATTAATTTGATGAATGCATCTGGGATTGAAGCTCATACTAACTGAAAATGTATATTCTTACACTGGGTTTCACAGATACCAGTTTCCCTGTGGATCTGGTGCTCTGTGACAGGTTGTGATTATGACCTGAAGTTTGAATTACAACAGAGAGCAGATAGACCTGCCACTCTGCCTCTGATTTGCCTCTCAAAATGTTGGGCTGTTCTGTTCTGCCTACCTAGCACAGTGTTTATTTGAAGAAGGTTTCCTCATATCACATAATCTTTTCAAATATCACAAAATACGAAATCTGAAAGTTAGCTGCTGTTGAAAGAGCAAGGTGTCCTTTGTGATGCAGCATGTCCCCTGCTCAGTTTGTTTGCAGTGCTGGTGAGAATCGGTGCTGTCATTCTGATTGACCCTCTGATGCAATTTAAGAGCAGAGTTTTAAGTAGATGTTTCTGAGAGGATAATTTTACTATGCAAAAAGTAGTGCGGGAATAAATATTTGGTGTCAAATCAGAAGGCCTAAATCTTCCTGACTATTTTGCTTCTTTTATTTTTTGTCCTTAGGTTCTTAGACAACTGCAGCAGGGCCTGGCCAAGTGCTATTCGGTTGCCTTTGAGAAAAGTGGAGCTGTTTCAGATGCCAAAATCACTCCTCATACACTAAATTTCGTCAAGAAGTTAGTCAGCACTTTTGGAGTAGGTCTTGAGAACGTCTCTAATGTGTCCACCATGTTTTCTAGTGCAGCCTCAGAGTCATTAGCTAGGAGAGCACAGGCAACAGCTCAAGATCCCGTGTTCCAGAAATTAAAAGGGCAATTTACAACAGGTAAATGTTTAAAATGTTTTCTTAAATGTTACTTTTAATCTTCAGAGAAATCTTCCTCAGTTCAGCTGTGAAGGCATTCTGCTCTTTTATTCCAATATCTTTCCTGAGAGAAAATTTAGAAAACAGCACCTTTCTGTCATGCACCAAACCTGAAATAGTTTGTTCAAATCTTCTGTGGAGTAATAAAGGTAATTCAAGTGAAAAACAGACATCAACATAGAGAATGAGTATATTGTTGTATTTTTATTACTGAAAGCTGTGGTTTGATCACAGATGTGTTTAAAGATAAGTTAGATTACTTCACTATAATATTTTGCTATTTGCATAGAACTGCCTGCTGGATCTGAGGGACAATAATGATCTCTGCTTTACAATCATGGCAGAATTTAATGCAATTTTCACTGCAGACCTCCAAACTGACAGTATTATGTGAGGTCTTTCAAAACAGTCTACTTCTGATGAGTAAGATTAGTGTTTTGGATAACTAGATTATAAAAATCCTATTACCCAAATTTACATCGTTTGGTAAATTGAATCAATAACTTTAATCAGATCTAATAAAAAAGATACTTAAGGGAAGTAGCTTCTTTACTTCATTCATTTTCTCTTAACCAGTGGTTACATATTTGAGTATCTGCTGTTGATTTAAAATTCTGAGAAAAGCTTGTATACAGGAGAACGTGGGTTTGATTTGTTTGGTGCAAGGTGTGAAGGCCACACAGCTCATCCATGGCAGAAGGTGACCCTGATTGGCATCAGCGGTTTGGATTGCCAGGATTTTGAGGTTTGCATCAATTCCTCCTCAAACATAAGCGTTTGAGAGCATTTGACAAGTAGACTTGTGATGTTTTTTCAAGCATTTTACTGATAATATTGTGAAAATAAGTGAACTGATGGGAATCTTGTGAAAGTAACTCAGTTGCAGACATGACCTACATATCTTGTGCACGCTATGGATTGCAGGATGTCCTTTCTGAGCACAACAGTTGCATGACAGCAGATAATGAAAGTCCTGAACCATATGATTAAATTTTTACTGGATGAAGTGTACTAGGGAGGGAAATGGAAGTAGAAACATTCTGTATGTCTTCAGTGGGAGCATACAGGGAGAAAAAAAAAAATATTGGGCAAGGATTAATGGGATGAAATTTACCCCGTCCAAAATATTGGATTCTGTACCTAGAGCTGGGTAATAATGCCAGGCACAGGTGTGATTTGGGAGAGGAGTGGCTGGAGAGCAGCCCTGCAGACAGGGATCTGGGGGTGCTGTAGGTCCCTTCCAGCTGAAATACTCTACATGAAATGCAAGTTTGGACTAATTTTTCAGTTTTAGTAGTCATTTATATGTCTTTGCATCACAATAGTAGTATAACCACTCATATATACTCAACAACATTTTCCTTATATTTGAGTTATTTTTGGTCTGTCATAGTATCTCCTGGTTTCTCTCCTGTGAGCATCAGAGAGGTCTGGGATTTCAAAGGTGTAAAGGAAATGTAAATACAACACCAGACTCAAATCTGCAATAGCTGAAGTAATATTTCAGAACATTTCTAGGGAAACATTTAAGAGAGTTTAATTACAATTCAGTTACATGTTTTAATTAAAATAGAAAATGGGGAGGATTTCCAGTTTTTATATGCTGATGTGAATTTTTTGCATGTCTGTGATATATAAATGGCAGTTAAGGTTTTCAGATTTTTCTCTCTTAATCACAACATTTATAAAGAATAATATGGAACAACATAAAACCTGAAGAACAACAACATAGGCCTGGACATAAAAATCATGTAAAGTCATCAAATGCAAAGTGTTTCTCAGTAAACTTATGTTTAATAACGGTAATTAGTTTTTTGTTGAAGGTTTCATGTTTTATTTTCTAAGTGTCTGCAGGATACAAATAATTATTTTGCTTAATGCTGGAATTGATTTTATTCTAATCTAATACATTCAGTGTTTTAATTCACAATTTAAATGTAGGAAAACAGCAGAAATTGGACCAATCAGCATATATACTAATTTTTGTAATATAATTCATTATGCAGAAAAGGAAAATAAGTTTTTTATTGATTTTGTAATAACAGTAAAATATACATAAATAAATGAAGGGGATTGTAATTATTGTATTGAAGTTAGGAAAGGCTGTTTTAACACTATGAGAAACCATTTGTAGAACATTCCTAATGTGTCCTTCTGGCACAGTAGAACCTTCACGTTTGCTTTTCTGATTCTCGGTACCAGTTGCATCTGGGTGATGGACAGATAATTACAGAGGTTGCCTTCCATTTCACAAGTATCCACACTGAGGAGCTGTCTTGGAGTAAACCCTTTTCTCCAATTATTTCCAGATTAATGCTGACAGCTGTGTTCTATACATACATTCAGCTGGGTTTGGTTGCATAATCATTTCCATCAATATCAGAGTTGCATCTTGATTCCTGTTTGAAGCCACTGGGGACTCTCACACCATTTCTTATATTCTAAATACTTTGCAGCAATCTGGACTGTTGGAGCTGTGATAGGTCACTTTATCCATCCTAATATTATAAAAACAAATTTTACTTTGAATTTTTTTCCTGTAACTTCAAATGCATAGTTCTTTGACCATCTGTTCTTTGTTCCTTCTCTCCTTTTCTGCTAAACCTTTGACATCAAAGAACAGGCAAATTCTGAAAAATGCTCCCTTTGAGAGCTCTCCCAGCAGTGAAAGCAGAAGAAAAGCTGCCTCAATTGTCCTTTTGTGGGCAGATGATAGTTTAGAGTTTGGATCAGCTTCTTTCTGCAGCCATCTCTACACTCAGGGTGAATACGAATGGAAAATTCCAAAATAAACCCTTAAAGAGCAAGATAATTTCCTCGAGAGTTTTGTCATCCAGCACAATGAATTCTTCACTGTGAGTGGAAACTGCAGGCAGAAGGAAGCTCCTGGTGCGGCTCTGAACTATGGGGAGAGGGCAGGGGAAAGATCTGTTAATAGTTTTCAGCTTTTTTAAGGATTTTTTCTTTTTTTTTTTCCCCCTCAAGATTGAGCATAGCATCCCTTTAGTAGCTCTTTCTTTGCTTCCCTTCCAATTTTTAGATAACAGGACGTTATCCAGGAAATCCAGATCAAGAGATTGGAGTTAGCATCATATTTGACCTTGGTGTCTGGTCTATGCAGTCTTGGTTTTCTGGAGCTGAGTGATAAACCTGAAGTTCTGCTTCATAATTCTGCTTTCCTGTCACTGAGATTTTTCATCTTTGTTGGTGCTTTCCAGAAGTTCTTGTGAGATTAGGAAGAAGTTTTGGGAAACTGTAGAATATATAAATGTTTGAATAGTAACTTCTAAAGCAAGACAGTGCTTCTCTCTTGGAGAATGCTTGGATCTTCTTCGGTATCATGTGCATAAAAAGTTTGACCTGTTCTATAAAGCTAAGCTTATATTTCAGTCCTGAGTAATATCTTACATGATGAATGTCATGGTTTTTTTGTTGGAGATCCTTGGGTTGGAAACTTTTAAGTGTAAACATGCTTTGCCTGTAATCAGGATAATCTTTAAAATCTTCAAGTCAACTGGCGCTTGCTCTAAAAGCATTAATAAACTGTTGCTTTTCATTGATCAGAACTATTTTCTGACAGTATAGCAGAAGGGGTTTCTTTTTTAGTTCTGGAATCTTAGTTTGGAGGTATTTTCTTTGTTTTCCTGATGCTGTGTTAATGTTCTGTAGGTCAAGGGTTTGGGGGACACAGAGGATTTGGTACTCTAATTTTGCTACCTGAAGTGTATTTTTTGGTGTTGCTTCATAAGTGATGGTACAGCTCTCAATCAAAATGTGTTAAGCTTTATCTAGTTGTGTTAAGAGCCATCAGGATTTTTTTAGGTCTGTCTCACTGGGAGGAAGATTCTGCCCTGTTTGTCTTTGCATTGAGAGTGGCAAGAAACTTTGGCAGCTTTGAGAAGAGAGAGAAAACTGCTTTTGCTGCAGTCTGTGTCATGGGCTTCTGGGAACATCTCCATTAAAGATGGGTGGGGGGAAACTTCCCATTCTGTTTAGAAAAAGATGGTGCAAATAGTAAGGTATTTTAGACCAGTGTGTGTTAGCTTGAGAAAGATGTTCTTCAGTACTGTGTACTGAAAAAATGGATTTTTTTGAAACAAAAAAACTGTTTATATAGATTAATATGTCTGCAAAGCAGAGAGACTTTGTACACAAATGATGTTTGGTCTTGTATTTCCCCTTCTTCCAGCTGAAGTGATTTTTCTTCTCAGATGGGCTCTCTGTGACACGAGCAGAAAGACTAATTGAACTCTGTTTTTCCCATCTGCCACTAGAAAACAAAAGAACAACAAAAATCCCCAAATAGGCATTCAACAAACTAGAGCTGCTCTTGTGCTGAACTGAAGCATTTTTTTTTTGTAAGGAATATATATTGATGTGTATTTTTACCACTTTGGTGGATTCACATTAGCACAAAAACTAGTTGCAGTTGGAGGAGACTCTCCTGCACTTCAGAGATTCAGGAGATAAATGATGCAATAATTTTGTCACTTTGATGAAATGATTTACTCCCACTGCTCACTAGAGGGTAGGCTTGGGATTATAATAAGAGTGTTTTACAGTGGTATTGCAATAGATGCACTGCCCAGGCAGAGAAAGAAAAGGGAATATCACAGAGTTATGCTAATTTCCCTCATCCATAAATATGAAACTGTATTTTTCATTATAGACTTTTTTTCTTACAGACATGGAAAGGATTTTGTATGTGGTGGGTTTTTGCTCAGTTTTAGACTAGTAGACTTGGGACTTTCACTGAAAGCTTTCAGCATATCAGTATGTTGTGGATGCACAATGAAATATGTTGGGTTATGGTTCTCTGATATTTTAAGTAACAGAATAGCAAAATGAAAGAATCCTGGGTTGCATTGTTTTCTTTGCTATTGGCGTCTTTACATGTAAAGAAAAGAACTAAGAGTATATGTATGGAATGATATGAGCTCTTCTGGCTAAAAGAGTGTTCTGAGCTTGTCAGACTTTTGAGTGGTTTAATTGTGGTTGTAAGAAACTTTTATATGCAGTAATTGCTGTGTGCACATACTTAATTCACTCTTGGCACACTTGCAGATAGATGTTTGTAGCATATTTATGTGGTCAAAATTTCTTCCTTTAGCAGCACTCATGTTTGTTTTGGGTTTTTTGTCAACTTAGGAAAATATTGAGTGTATGTAACATTGAAATGAAAGTTCTGCAATAAGACTTAAACTCATTTTTGAGACTGTGTTAGTTTTCTGTTGTATTTGCATCATAATGAAGATTCTGCTCTACTTTAGTTGTAAATATCAAAAATACTAAATTGACATTCTCTTTCTCGCTGTTGCCTTTTCATTTGAGAGATATTAAACTTAAAGTGACATCTTTCAGAGTGTGGTGTGGAAATGAGTTAAAAATTCCAGTCTGTTAGTTCACTTGCACAGTTTGGGATGCCATAACTAATGAGGTTTGCAGAGAGCAGTTTGTCTTCTTATCCAAGTGTGTTTAATCTCTTTGTAGTGGTACTGAAGTGCCCAACCATCCTTTCATTTATATGTTTATTCATTTCCCCTCTTTTGGGAAATGCAATGACATTTATTTATTTGTTTGTTTGCTTTGTTCTGAAGCTGGGGTGAGAGCAATGTTGGGAGGATGGTATTGGAGTGGCCCAGAAAATGATCAGTATTGCAGTGATTTGTTACAGAATTACTTGCATAATGTACTGAAGACCATGTATTGACCTTGAGAAAGTTCTTTCCTCATGTGCATGTAGTCTAAAGGAGATAATTCACACTGTAATACTTTTAATATTGCAATGGAAACATCAGGCTCTTCGCATAATATTGTCATTTTTGCTTAGACTCTTGTATCTGTTTTTCCTGTAGTGACTTTCAGTTGTTATCTAAGCCAGGAAAGAATAAGAATTTTCTTGCAGCTCAGAATAGGAGAATAACAGTAATAAAAGTCTTACTCCTTGTCCTCACAGATTCTATGTTGTGTCCTTGATTGAGGTTCTTTCATCCCTTTTAGAAGCAAATAGTCCCCGTTGATTTAAATAAATAAATAAATGATGTGTAATGAAACTGGCAGAAAATTATAGTGCTACACTGTAAAATAAGCCTACTTTTCCTCTTTCACAAATGCTCTGATCTAATAATTTGGGGTTTTTACTGCTTTTTTTCTATGCAGTCTGGTTGCAGTATGGAGACAATTCAATACAGTAATAGTATTTAAATTTTTCACAATATGTTTTTCTAATGTTTGACTAAACCAGGAAAATGTTGGGAGGTTCATTATATACTAAATAACAGAATATTTTAGAGCTGTATACAGAAAAGAGGTAGCGGATTCTGACAGGTTTAAGGTATATATAATGTTAGGACTTTGCTGAAAGGTTTTCTGTAGAGCTGAAATGTTCAAGAGTCTGTCCTTTAAAGGCGGTGCAGCTCTGTGGGGATTGTGTGTTTGATTTGCACTATTGAATTGGGTGACTTCTTTTTGTGGGTTTTTTTTTCAGATTTTGACTTCAGTGTGCCAGGGTCAATGAAACTTCACAACCTTATCTCTAAACTAAAGAAATGGATCAAAATTCTGGAGGCAAAAACTAAACAGCTTCCAAAGTTCTTCCTCATAGAGGAAAAGTGCCGCTTTCTAAGTAACTTCTCAGCTCAGACTGCAGAAGTAGAGATACCTGGAGAATTCCTTATGCCAAAGCCAACACATTACTACATCAAGATAGCAAGGTAACCTAAAAACACCCTTTGGTAGATGTAATTCTGAAAACAGAGGAGAAATTAAAGCCTTCCCATCCATTCACTCTGCAAAAGTAGATGTTGTGTACATTTTATATATGTAAATTACATATAGAGAGTCATACTTCGATATAACACCTTTTTTATTTTATCCTTCAATAATTACATTGCATCACTAAACAAGTGTACTTAGAAGAAGAGTATATTTGGTTTTCTTGTATGCTGATGTAAGTTGAGATTAGTGCTTCTATTGTAATCAATAGAGATACTATTCTTCAAAACAGTGGTAAAGGTCTCATCTAATGATTAATTTTGCTCAAGAACTGTGTTTTCTTAAAAGCAAATAAAATGCAACAGAACAGCTTTTTAAACTACAAAATAGAAACCACAGGCCAGCTGGATAATAGAATCATACTTTGTAATACAGTTGTACTACCTTATTTTATTTCGTCTATTTCTGTTTGGTTTGGGTTTGTTTTTTTTTTTTTTTACATCACGATTTAATATCAGAGGAGATTATCCCAGATGCTTTATTATCCCTTTCTTCCTGCTAGGTTCATGCCAAGGGTGGAGATAGTTCAGAAGCACAACACTGCAGCCCGGAGGTTGTACATCCGAGGCCACAACGGGAAGATCTACCCGTACCTGGTGATGAACGACGCGTGTCTGACCGAGTCGCGCAGGGAGGAGCGGGTGCTGCAGCTCCTCCGCCTCCTCAACCCCTGCCTGGAGAAGAGGAAGGAAACCACAAAAAGACACTTGTTTTTTACAGGTACTGAAAAGAGAGAGACTCTCATTGTTTTTTAAATATGTGTTATACTCGAAGGTTATGTTTGCTGAAGTTTTTTTGACTGCTGCTCATCGCTGATTCTGAAAGTTTTGATTATTCGGAAGGGAAATTCATATATGTCCAGATGATTAGTCTTGGCTGGCACTGTAGCACCTCTCTGAAGAGGGGTGTTTTGTGTGTTGGGAGGAATTTCTTGTAATTTGGGGGTGTCTGTCCTCAGACAGCTTTGGCTTCGTCAGCCTTGACTGTCTAATGTCAGCTTCACTCCCTTTGATGAACAGATTTCTTCATGAATGAGAACACTTTCTGGCAAGCTTTACATTAAATAAAGGAAATCTTGCTGACAGCCTCCATCCCCCATTTTCTTTTTACTGAGGTAAACCAGCAAACAAACATGCAGGTGTAGCATATTACCTGTAAACAATGCTAAAGTGTAAAAGAATCAGAAACATGGATAATGAAGAACAGAGGTTTAGGGTTTTGCATTAGTCTGAGGCAAGAATAACAGAAATGCAGTAGATAAAGCCTTGAAAAAGATGATAAACATGACCACTGATAGAGAAATAAATCCTGTATATAACAAGCTTCATTACATAGCATGTTTTCCTTCAAAGAGCTGTTTTTTTTGTGGTTTGATACTATTTGAAAGAACCTAAAGAACGTTCATTTCTCTGCTGCCAGAGGTTAATGGAAGCAGACCAGGAGGAACAGCTCATTAACACCCTTTCTGCAGCAAGCATTTTCTTCTTTGAGATTGAAGAAGTTACATCAAACAATTTAAATGCATTTAAACAACTTTTCCTTATATTTCTGAGGTTAATGATGAGAGAACAGTTTTGGTGGTAACTGGAGGTCGCTGTCAAACAGGGCCAACAGTGTCACTGGAAAAGCCAGCCATGGAAGAGGCCTTGTCTGTCTTTATGTAGGTGGGGATGCACAGAAGACTTGGTAGAATAATAAATCAGTTGAGCACCATAAAAGCACAAAGAGGGTTTTTGAAAGTTTACTGCCCATCAAAGAAAAGCTCAGTGACTTAAATTTTCTTATTATTGAATATTTTTCTCTGTCTTCAGTATTTTACTTCCAGATAGTGTCATTTAAATGTCTATTCCTCAACGGTGTCCAGATTTTTTTCCTCCAGTTTTTCTGAATCACTTTAAGTACCCTATTAAGCTAAGTAGTTTTGTCCTTCAGAATAATTTTTATTGACATAATGCCAGTGTCATGTAATCAGATATTATGAACCTGTTTGCATCAAGCACTACCCTTGTCCTAAAGCTAAAGAAAAGTAGGAAGAATGATGAGTGCTCAGTTTTTTTTTTGAAAATACAGATGATGTTTCTGGTATTACACCACACTGCTGTAATACCTTTTTAACTGAGCTTGTGAGTGATTTATGAGTGCAGTAATAAAAATTTTCTCTTGACACACTTCAGGAGTGTTGTAAGGGCTGATATCTCAGTCTTCGGGCTCTGGATGAGCTGTTAAGTTGTTCTGCTCTCTCTGTCCCGTTCCCAGTGCCCCGTGTTGTGGCGGTTTCTCCGCAGATGCGTCTGGTCGAGGACAACCCATCATCACTGTCCCTGGTGGAGATCTACAAGCAGCGCTGTGCCAAGAAGGGCATCGAGCACGACAACCCCATCTCCCGCTACTACGACCGGCTGGCCACGGTGCAGGCCCGGGGCACTCAAGCCAGTCATCAGGTAGAACGAATTTGATTCGAGGGCTTTCCTGGAGGACTCTGCTGTTCCCTGTCCCCCCAGCCCGACTCTTCACTGCTCGTTAGGTGTGAGACAGAAACAGCACCAAACATTTCAGAGTTCAAGATCAGGGTGCTTTTCCTGAAATGAGATACAGCAATTTAAAGAAGTTTGGTAGTTGCTTTTGGTCTATTTGTCTGTTGCTAAGAAGTGTATTAAAAATGACCTCTTTCAACTAATACTTTTCCTGTGTAGGTTCTCAGAGACATCCTTAAGGAAGTGCAGAGTAACATGGTCCCACGGAGCATGTTGAAGGAATGGGCCCTGCACACATTCCCCAATGCCACGGATTACTGGACTTTCAGGAAGATGTTCACTATCCAGTTGGCCCTGATTGGCTTTGCAGAATTCATCTTTCACTTAAATAGACTCAACCCTGAAATGCTGCAGATTGCCCAGGTATGCTGTACTTTGTTCTAGGTGTGTGCTGTTGTCCTTGATCAGGTGGAAATTTGGACTATACTTCTGAAATGAGTCAAAATTCGACATATATAATTAACAGTGCATTTCAGTAAGATTTTCATTTATATGTGATTGCATATCATGTAGGTAGTAATTTAAACTGCAGCCCCTGTGGGCATCAACTGCCTTCTGTGAATTTAGAACTTTGTCTGTAAAACCCTTCTTAGATATTGGAATTCTTCATGTAAATGACTGATAAGTCTCTCTTTTTAGTCCTCCTTCAAATATATTGCTTTGAAAATACCTCTGTGTCAAACAGATTTAAGAAAAATAAAATTTAGGGGCTTCATGTTCTTAAAGGGCCATATCCCTTTGCAAATACTGTTCTCTTTTCAGCATTGCTACAACTCCTATTAATAGAGATTTTTTTCTGTTTTAACCCAACATTTAAAATGAGCCTTGCCACCCCAAGGTGGTATTTATGAAAGTCTCAATGTCATTTTAATGCATGGAGGGCTGTAGTCTGTGTAGCAATTAAGATTCTTTAATCCCTCCAGATAAAATCAGCTGCTGATACTGAACACTGACCCAGAGATCTGTTGGCAGTGACTCCTTACAGATCGTGCTACAGAAGAAACTATTCCTCCAGTTTGGTATAACAATAACCTGTATTTAGTAAGGGGTTTGGACACAATGTTTTGAGAGAAATACATACTTGATTTTTGCATACTTTTATAACTTTTTTCCTCAAAAACTGTTTGGCTAAACGAGTGAAAAGCTATTGAAATACTCTTGATACTCTGAGTATTAACAGTAAACAAAAATCCAACTTCTTTTGGTTTTACGAATGGAAAATTGTTCCTTTAATTACTTTTGGGCATCTTTCTTTTAAATCCAGGACACTGGCAAGCTAAACGTGGCTTACTTTCGCTTTGACATTAATGATGCTACTGGAGATTTGGATGCCAATCGTCCCGTTCCGTTCCGGCTCACCCCGAACATTTCGGAATTCCTCACCACCATCGGGGTGTCTGGTCCCCTGACTGCATCAATGATTGCAGTAGCTCGCTGCTTTGCACAGCCAAACTTCAAGGTTTGTGCACCTTTTGCAAGATTATTTGCGGGCTGGTATTTGGCAATTTATAAACTAAACATTTTTGGTTAGAGTAGAAACCAAAAGGTGTGTGTTTGTTTTGAAATGTTACCCAGAGGTTGTCACAAAGGCCGGCTGACATGCTGGAAATGTGCCTTTTTGGAAATGTTTTAGTTGTTAGGGGAAAACATTTGAGTCAGACTAGACACCTAAAAGTTTGTTTTAGAAGCTTGAGACTGTTGGAGTTGACAAATTAATATCACTAACTCAACTCAGTTAGGAGAAAAAACAGGAAACTATTTGTTGCAGGCATTTCTTTTTCATCCAAGTCTAGAACTGGCCAATATACACATATGCATATATAATAGATACATATGTATGTATGTTGTAGTCAATGTTCTTCCCCTGTTTGGCAGAAAACAGTATTCCCTGAGAGTGTAATGTCTGTGCAAAAAGCCCAGCTTTGCAAAATACTCCTGATCTTTGCCCAAGACTTTTGTGAGCGTGTGGGGGAAAGTCATGAATTTAGTGGAGTCACTTAAAAATAGAATGTACATGACTTTTCTATGTAAAGAAACACCTTGAGAAGAAATAATAAAAGACTGTTGGAAGCCACACTCACCTTGGAAAGGCTGAAATTGCAGCGTGGCACCAAAAGTGTCAAAATGCTGTTGACTAAAATCTAGTTACAATTCTGTAATCTGAGAGAACCTGATGGTTCTTTGGATTAAGTGTAACGATCTGATTTTTCTTCTTCATTTAGGTTGATGGCATCCTAAAAACTGTGCTGAGGGACGAAATAATTGCGTGGCACAAAAAAACCCAAGAGGACACATCCTCTCCACTCTCAGCAGCCGGGCAGCCCGAGAACATGGACAGCCAGCAGCTGGTGTCACTGGTCCAAAAGGCTGTCACTGCCATCATGACTCGACTGCACAACCTGGCTCAGTTTGAAGGAGGAGAAAGCAAAGTCAACACTCTGGTAGCAGCTGCAAACAGCCTGGATAATCTGTGTCGGATGGACCCCGCCTGGCACCCCTGGCTGTGACTTGAAAGTTTCAACAGTTTAGTTTTTGTTTTTTGGTTGGGTTTTTTTTTGTATTTTTGGGTTTTCGTTTTTGTTTCTTTTGGTTTTGTTGTTGTTTGTTTTGGGTTTTGATTTTTTTTTTTGCTGTTGTTTGTGGTGTGAGCCATACATTGTGTTAAGAAAATGTGAAAAAAAAAAGCTTTCCAGCCCATGGCTTACCTGTCACACTGCCTTCTGTCAGTTTTTATTGTTGTGTTTACAGTAGTACAGCGATTTTACTGTTTTTTAATTTCATGAGGAGATGTTTCCTTCTGTGTAAGAAGTTTGTTTTAATATGCAGCAGCAGCTTTCACAAATAGATTAAAGTGAAGAGAGAAAAATAATATACAAAAAAATCTTATTTTATGATGAAGACTATGAAACTAGCATTGTTAGATTTAGGGTCTGCCATTCCTAATAACCTGCAGTATATAAATTTTTTATACAATAGTAAGTACTTTTAAAAAAGAAAGATACAGTATTCCCTGTTACTGAATTTTACTCTGTGAAATTTTACTTAATCACTCTCTCTTCATTATGCCAAATTGAAGGCACAAATAAATTCTCTTCCTTTAAGTTTGCTTCAAATTTACATGAGCAATGTTAGTTTGTACAGACAATTTTATACCAAATGTTATAGAGGTGATTTTTTGTTAGGCACTGAGAAAATGATGATCAAATTGTGCTGACTTTTCCTGGAGCACAAGCTATGTACAGTAAAAGTGTAAACCATTTAGAGTATTTGGTTTAGCTGTGGACAGTGTTTGGGGGGGAAGTTTATAAAAGGATGGAAAAAGCCATCCTTTGATACATGTATTTGGCTGCAATAGATAAAAAATGAAATCTTATGAAATTCTCTTTACTGTTTAGAATTACAGTAGCTTCTTTAGAATGAATGTGTTCCTTTGTAATTTAAGAAAAGAGCAGTTTAATGTTTCACTTGTCTTTCTGTTGTGTTATCATTTTTATAAAACTTCGGTGTTGAGAATGTTAAATTTGTACAGAGTGATTTTTTCAAAATAAATATTTTGTAAAACTCTGTATGGTATTCATTTAATTTAGAACATTATTAATACCATACTGAGAGTATGGTTCTTCTTTGTTGTATAATGAATCAAGCATGACCTCTTCACTCCCATGCTTGGTTTCTGTGTTCCTTATGTATGGAAGTGAGTAGGATAGAAGGAGTCATGCTGAATGCCAGTGTGTACAAGTGGAAGCTCAAATAAATGAGTGTTAAGGACTATAACAGGATTTGGAAAACAAACATATCTTTTTTGGGGGGTGCAGAGATTTGCTTCCTGATCAAAATCATGTTGGCAAGAATAATCTGAACTTTCTTCTTATAAAACATAGCGCTTCCTGCATGTGTCACAACATGCTCTATCTGCAGTCATTCACAACTCAGAGCCTTCATGACTTGAAGGGAATTGTTGGCTTCCCTTTATTGAAGATTGTAACATTTGCAGCTGTGAAGAACAGCACAGGCTGCGTCAGAGGAGTTGCAGTGTATTTTCTTAATCATTTGCACGTCTTAGATATGTGTGACTCTGAGAGATTGCAGCATTCCCTGAAAGGAAGTGATCAGATAATTCAGCCACTTTTCTCTCCGTGATAGAAATCACAATGGGAACAAGTTAAAAAAGACAAACTTTGCTGTTTTAGATTTGTGACATCTCTTGTTTAGTTAAATATATTTCTAAAAGAAAACATGGGGTGGCAGGGAGCAGAGGCAATAAGAGAGTTAGTGAGGTCCCTGATGGTGTTAATGTGCAAATGTTGACACCTGGTTCTCTTCTTTCATGAGTATATGCTATGGCTTTACCTTATTTTGGGAGAAGGGTTACACAATCTTAACCCAGAGTTTTACCACCAGCTCCATCTGAAAGCTTTGAATCTGAAAGCTTTTAGTTATCCATGAGCATTCTCCAGAGCCTGGAGGAAATCTCTGACACATCTTGTCTCATCAGCAGCTGCCCATTAGCAGGTAAGTGGTTTGACATAGTACAGGAGATGAAGTTCCTGATTACCTTCATGAACATGTGACATCTCTCTTCACTGCATTTAATTTTTTATGATTGTAGATAAGGGTTCCCTCTGTCACATTAGTTCAGATCTGCACTCAGAATGCATCTTGCTGAGCAGGTACTTGAAAGTGAACTACGCTAATTGTCAATTCACTCTAAGTATTCCCTTTAAGGTGTCTTCCATCAGATTAGATATTACACCAAAAAAGCTTGTTAATACTCCATAAAATCAAATGCTTGAGAATTAAGAGAGGTCAAATTTAAAATTGTCTCTGAAGTTGTGTGCACAGGCATTATGCCATTCTGAAAATCCCTCCTGCTGTGTTTATGTTTTTTAACTGCTGTAGAGCCCTGAACAGATTTAGCTGGATCTTCATGAGGGTAACTAGTGACAAGTCCTTGACACCAAAGTTGTGCCAGCCCTGTTTTAAGTCTGTATGAAATGCAGAGATGTACATGTTGGTAGACCTTGGCACACATACATGTGTTGGTGTGCAGTGGGTTTTATGGGAAGTCACTCAAGGCACAGAAATACTGGTAACTAAGAAGCAAACTTGGGATAAAAAACTATAGACAAAAGTGTAAGCTTGTGGATATTACATGGAGAATAAATAGTTGTCAGGTTTCTCAAATTATGCTGTATTGTCTCTTGATTTCTGTAATCATGTTTGGCTCTGTCTTTATTAGATGATGCTGCTGCAATTTAACTTTTTATTATTACAGTCTGCTCTCAAATTAGATTATCAGAATTTATTTGCTTAAATGAACTATGCTCCAAAACAAAATCATTTAACATTAGTTGAGTGTTTGAGTCCACCCTCTGAAACTGGTGTGCTGCTTTCCTCTCCTGTAATTGGGCTGTCCATGAATTGTCAGATACAGAGAGAGCGAGTGAGAGATTAGTTATTACTGAAAGAAGATGACTCAAAGCATTTCAGCAGCAGACAATGAAAGCTCTGTTTCATAATGGCAGTAGAATAAAGTTGCTTTTAAGGCTCCAATCTGTTTCAAATATGATGTATGAAATGTTCTTTTGTGGTGTGGAAACCTATTCAGAGGGAAGAATTCACACTCACAGGAGCTTTTAATCAGCTCAGTGTGGGTGCATTTCACATTTAAGAGGTTCAAGAGTGCACATGTGAAACAATGGGTGTCTTGCATGTGATTTGTCATGACTTGGATGTTTTGGGGTCTCTGTGGCCCTGTGTGCAGCTGCTCCAGGCTCACTCTGGGCTGTGGGTCAAATGGCAGTGCTACCTGGGATCTCTCGTAAAGGAGGGCTCAAGGTGTGGAAACGCAGGGAAAAAACTAACCTGTGAAATTGTTAACTTAGAATTTCATCTCTCGACTGTGGCCTTTTCGTTTTCTGTGACTGAGCGTTGCCTTTCCCCGAGAGCTTCGAGAGCAGCGCTGAGGAAGTGCCATTTGTGTCAGCCACGTAGCACTCCCTCTCTGCTTCCAGCCTTCTCCCTCCCCTGTTATCAACTCATGCTTTACTCTCAGAAATCTTTTATTTCTTTCAATTACCCCTCAGAAAACACACGACACAGGAGTGTAGGGGGTGTAAATAGGGCCTGGGCCACAGGGGCTGTGGGAGGAGACAGGTGGGACTCTCATCTCATCAGGAAGCTCTTGGTACCTTATCCCACCTGTGCCCCAGGGAAAGCAGCAGCCAGGAGGGATCCTGCTGGGTGATCCCTGTGGAGGAGAAGAGAAAGGATCAAGGGGTGGCTGACAGGCACTATTATGTGCTGCCCCTGCCCTTCTCCAAGGGGCTGGGAAGCGACCAAGTGGAATCCACTGCAAATACAAGGGAACTTGAGGCAAGGAAGCAGGAGAGGTGGCAGAGGCGAAGCTGAGCCTGGTGAAACAGGAAGAAAGTGGCTGCCCCTAAGGTTTGTTTCATTGTTTGTTTTTTTTGTTTCCTCTCAAAAGCTGAGGTTTATGTTAATTGTTGAGATATTGAGTGAAATCCCTGCAGTCCAGACTGTTCTGCTGACCACAGGGAGCAGCCTGGCAAATGTTTTTAGCTGTGGTAACTTACTCTGATGGCTGGGTCTTGCATAGCCAGGACTCTGAGGACATGGAAGCTTGTTAAGGGACATTTTGATGTTAGAAAATGCTTTGTTTGCTTGTTTGTTGGTTTTCTTTTTTCCTTTGGTAATGTTTTTCCCTCTTACTCCACTGGAGCACTACATGTGGTTAATGTGCTCTGGGCAAATCTTTCTTGAGTGAGCCATAAAACTTGTCCTGACTTTGTCTAGCCCTGGAGGATCCTATCATGCTGCTTGTAAGAAATGAAGTGGCAAAGTTTGCTATGTCTGTGCTTCCAAGGGGAAAGCAATAAGGAGTGTGGGTGCCTCTCCCCTGTCCCCTATTTCAGCAGTGTGGTCTGCTGGACTGGCCAGGGCAGGAGCACTTTATTTCTCATTGTTTTCAGCAATGCAAACCTTGTTAGTGCTTTGTATGAACACTTATTTTACCATTTAATCTGTGCTGATTGGATTTCTTGGAAGAAAACTGTGACTGTCCCAGAAATCAGCCATCATAACGAAACTTGTTTCCAATCCACCTGATTCTTGTGCTTCTGAACATGTTATAGACCTGCTGTATTTGGAGGTGATATTAGCTTTGGTTTGTAAAATTCATGTGCTCCACACCCTGATACCAGGCTTCACTTGCTGCCTGCAGCCTAATTTTATTTTTTTGGGGAAAGGATGCTTATCCAGGCTCTAAGATGCTGTTGGGATTGTACCTTAATCAATCAGTCACTGCTCCCCCTCAGTGCAGCCCACCTGAACTGTTACAGTACCAGCTGTACTAAAGGAGCTTTCTCGGTCTGATATCTTGGAAAGGGCAGACCTTTGCAGGCTCAGTGTTTCTCTTGATACCAGCACATTAATTACTGTCTCTCCACTCCTTGCTGCTGTTTGTAAGAAATTGGCATTAAAGAATCTATTCTGCTTATTCAGCAAGAGTTCTCATCAGTAGCAATTCATAAACCACTCTAGAGTGGGTCAGTATTGCTTTACCATCCCTTGAAGCAACACTAAGCAGCACAGAACTTTTAATTGAGGTCTAGTGGTGTTACTGAAATGTTGTTTCTCTGTGTAATAGCTGCCCCTAGTCCTTTCTGTAATAAAAAAAAATAGCAACTATCAAGTAGAGAAAGACTCATATTAAAATTTTGTGAGTTATCTGCATGTGTTATTGCAAAGGCTGTTTTTTAACATCTTATGCAGTAAACTATGCTATCCATTAATATTTTAGCTTGAGCGTGTGAAGGAACTACTCCCTGTCTTTGTGAGATTGTGTGAAGGGCTGGGGGTCAGGACTTCAGAGTTCCTTGTCTAACTCTGTGAGTGATGCAAACTCCCCACTATGAAGGAAGGGGGGAAAAGTTTTGTTATTTTTGATACTCAGATGTGTGGGGGTGAAAAAAAGTGACTCTCAGTTAAAATAATCCTCTTGCCTTTCTTGTTTAGATGCTGCAGTCTGGGTGGTCCAAACTCAATTTTGCTGGGATTAAATGAGTTTGGAGAAACTTTTCTGAGCCAGTGTCCAAAATTCTGTGATCTCCCATAGCCCCTTTAGCCTCTTCTCCCTTTCACTGCATATGGTTGGCAACAACTAGCAGAGAGTAAATGTATGGACATGCACAGATACCCAGGAGGTGGCACAGTGACAATAAGAAAAGTGAGGCATGTCAGAAGAATTTGCCTTGCAGGCTGTATCTGGTTTCCAGATGTGGAACTAGATGCACCCTGTGTGAGATGTGTTGCTCTTGCTTTAGCCTTTGGAAATTTCTGAAGAGAAAATAGTATTTTTTTTTAGTGTGGTGTATAAACTCTTGGTGGAAGTGTTGGGATTGTGGCTTTTTAAAAGGCAGTTTCTGCATTTTGCTCATGTGGTTTGTAATTGCAGTGGTTTTTTTCTGCAGTCAAGAATGCTTGGAGAAGTGTCTGAATGATACCTTGGTAAAGGATTTACCTGCATCTCTACGAAAATAGCTCA